CTCCTCTGTAGACTCGCTCCTGATCTAAGTTCACAGGGAGGTCAGTTGGAGTCGTAGGCTTGACATCCATCTCCTCTATAGACTCAGCGTCAGAAATGTCATTCGATGCTCATAACAAAAAAATGTACCCAGTTTGTGCTGTCTTCTCGGGAAAGTAGAACTGGTAATGATTAACATTCTATTTTACTTGTGATGCACTGTTTAGAACCTTTGATGTAGTAATGGAGATCACTGGAGTTATATCCCAACACCAAACCGTTATTTTTGACACCTCGACACGTGTTTCGATCACCAAGTGAACATATTCAAGATGATCAGCAAGTAATCGTCTTCCTCTTGAAGATGATCACTAGGTGATCGAAACACGTGTCAGGTAAATCTAATAACTGAACATATTAATTCAACAAACTATATAGTAAACTATGAGGTGTTAGTCCAACATCGTTATTCATGATATTATTATGTTTACTCATTTCTAAACTCTCATAGGCATCTAGATGCCTGTTGTTGTTAACTTGTCTAACTAATTTCAATGAACTAATCCATGAAATGGTTTTTTTGCAAAACATGATGGGCGACCGCTGATTTTTCTAGTCTTCCATATTTTAGGTGTGCTAAGTGTTCCTTATATCTTATTTCAATAGTGCTTTCAGTCTGTCCATAATATTCAATTTCGTAAATTCCAGAATTTTCCAAATTCTCGGCTCTGTCTTTTGGATTTGCTAAAAGGCTCTGTAGTGTATGACTTGTTTTAAATACCCAGTTCATTGAAAATATTTCCAAAATTCTTCCTGTATTGGTGATATGGAACTGAGATATATTTATCTTGGTTTTCGTCGTTTCTAAAAGTAGAGATTTCGTCAAAAAAAGATGCACTAGTGCATCGTCTTTTGATGTTTCCTCTCACACATGAGAGGTTTACAAAAGAAAATGTGACAATACAGGAAACAGCAGTCAGTAACGGTTTCTCGAGGGGTATCACCGGTAGAACCTTCGCCAATCACGACAAGGCAAAACGGCCTTTGTCGACTTCATCGAATCCCAAGCACGCAATATTCATGCTGACGGAATGATTCTACTTGTTGCGTTGGCAAAAATGCACTGATTGAAACGGCGCTTATTTCGATTGAATCGAATTAATATCCACTGATATATTACAGTTCAAAATGGACTTATAAAAACGAACAAAATTTTTGCAATAACCCAATATTATTATCTCATAGTCTCGGGAGCTTTATTTGAAGCAGGTAATATCAAACAGGTCATATTTTTATCATCTATAGATCTGAAAATATCTTCTCTGGTGCTATACGTTCCATGGGACACTCAGTTAATAGAAACATGCTGCGTCATTTGTCAAACGACTCGGGAATATAGTTGTTGATTTTCTGGCAATGGTAGCACTGCGGCAAATATTTTTTGTCGCCGTAACACGTCGTAGGCATTATTAACGAGTTCAGCGTCTCGCATTATTACGGCAACCATTACTATCACCTACATCTCCCCGACAAAATTCATTTTGAGATAAATTACCTCTTCTCTGGATCACGATGACGTTCTCAGGTGTAGGTTCGGCGAGAATAACTTAATCTCGCGTTGAAAGGAATACTTAATGAAACTACTTGAGGGCATCACATTAATTAGAAACATGGTGTACGGCTATCTGTTGGTTCACAAGCTTTCAGCAGCGGGTAGCGAGCTATTCCGAAAGCGTGGAAATGTAGTCGGCGGGAAAACCGTCGTTTTGACCTTGAACTTGATGTAATACAGTCTCACCCATGTACTCGGATACTGTGAAGTACTAGGCTGATGTGGGACAAGAAGCAACATGAAAAATCATTCAAAAATATTTCCTTTTCAATGCTGCTACCAAGAAAATAGATTATAGTCCCTTAAAAACCGTCTATCGACAAGACAAGAGGCTGGGGCGAGAAAAAACTAGAGATTCCTCTCTGGACAAGAGAGGACGAAAGAAGTAGAGAGACTGTAGATGCACATCTTCACCGACAGCAAGAGGTTGCATATCTTAATGAGGATCTGGTGGTGATTTCGAATTTGGGTGAAAGTAACCAGGTTCAATTCAATGCCATAAAAACCCAGGCATCGGTTTTCTCCAAGAAGATAAATGTCTCCGAACCGGATATAGTAATGTCAGGTCAGACCATTCCCCTTTCTGCTTCGATAAGTTTGTTGGGGGTTAAAATGGACACCAATATGTCTTGGCACAATCGTGTTGCTGGAATCGCAAAGGCTGCTTCTCAAAAGCTTGGAACACTGTTCCGAACCAGAAAACTGAACAAACCTCAGCAATGTTTAGGGCTCTATATAGCTCAGATTAGACATTCTTTGAATTATTGTTCACATATATGGAGCTCCGCCCCTAAGCATACCCTAAAGTTGTTGAATTGCATCCAGAAAAGAGCTATCCGCTTGATTGGAGACACGAATATCACGTACAATCTTGTTAGTCCGGAACATCGGAGAAAGGTTGGAAATTTGTCTCTTTTGTGGATACTTTCACGGAAGGTTTTTTCATTTTTTGTTAATAATATTTTTAATTTTTTCACTTTTTATTTGTTTGGTTGTTGTTGAATGTTATTTCTTTGTAATTTCAGTTTTTGTTTAATAAAATTGTTATTTTCGGTTCAATCTTTTTGATTTTTTTCAGGGTTATCAAATCAATTTATATTATATCAGACTACATGTTGTGTGTTTTGTTATTGATAAATTAGTTTTGTTTATTACCCTTTAATCGTTTAATGCAGGTACTAACTGCAAAATAACAATAAATCCAGTTCGCATTTATGACGATGTATCTCTGTAGTTGTTCGTAAAATAATTTTTTGCTGCGAACTGTGAATCGCTACTTTCGCATAGGCACCGCTCTTAAAGGGCCTTAAGGATTTTCCTGTATCTAGTGCTTGTGTTTCGTCGTTAAAAAATGTCATGCACAGTTCGCAAAGAGCAATTCGATTTTTATTCTCGAGACTAAACAAAAAATAATGATTATATTTTCAATTTTTCTTCTGTATAGTATCTGCTGTTTCTGTTAGGCTAGTAGTAAGGCTCTCATAGATCGAATAGGAACTTGTTTGTTTCTCTCTTAAATTTGAAATATTTCCATAGCCTCTTATGTGAACGAATGTAATGTTCGTCTTCCGGCGATCAAGTTTTGCCTCCATATTCCGAATACGTCAAAATTTAACAAACACTGAAATACCAACAAGTTATTTGAATGACTGAACTAATGGTTCCAAGACAAAATAAAACAGCAAGTTTTCGGCATACAGTGTGTATCACATCGAGCTTCTGTTGGAAATTTGGGTTTCAGATATTAATGCAAAGTACTGTTTCGAGATAATCTCCAATATACAGGGTATCCAGTGGAAGTGTGGCGTATCAAAGTTAGGTTTTTCAAAAATAGAATGAAATATATTGATTCGGATTCGGTTATAACGATAATTTTAGAAAATGTAGGATTGGATTGGATAATTTAGGAAACACTTGCTACATGTGTTGTTCATGACGAAGAATTTCAAAAACGAAGTTTTAATGATGAACGAGAACGGGAATGTTTCATACTTATTCATCAAACTCAAACACCTGTTCATGCAGCTGCAGTTTCGTAAGAAGGTATCATCTTTTCCTCCAACCAATTTCCTGGAGTCTTTGAAGTCCACTAGATACTCGTTAGGACAACAAGAGGATTGTTCCGAATTCTTGGGGTTCTTGTTGAATACACTTCGTTGAATACATCTCGTTTTGTGTTTGTAAATCTTTTGCTGGAAAAATCCTCACTTGTTAACTTTGTGGTAAATGTTCAAGAAGTACCGAAAACTTATGTGAATTTCTGGAACATCATCTAGCTTTTCCTAATATGACTAATAACCAGTCCGTGCAAAGCTTAATGTTAAATCATCTGAAAATGGAATTTTTAACAGGTGATGATCAACTGTATTGTCAAACATGCGCTAAAAGATTTAAAATTCAATAAACGCTAGTGCAATGAAATTGTTAAATTGACCAAAATAATGTCAAGAAAATTAAGAGTTATTAGCAACTAGATGATGTATCATTTTTTCTCTTCTCTATCATTGTTATGTAAATAAGTATGTAAATGAGTATGTTTATAATTATTTTCTTATACTTACTGTATAATTTTTGGGAAGGGTGGAAAATAGCCTTTGGCTAATCCTTTTCCTTTTATGTATAAATGTATTTTTATGCATAATAAACGATATTATTATCATAAAAATTGTCTGGGTCTTACTTTCAAGCAATGAAAATCGATCGACTGGCAAGGCTCGAACCAGCGTTTCACATAGCGGTCAATTGAATGACTAGAACGAACCAGGAAAATAAAACAATAATGAAAACTCGGAAAAACTCAATTTCAAAATTCAAATTATGTGGATTATCTCAAATAGTTATAATTATCAAAAGTTATGATTGCGATGGAATCGACCTATAATTGTGAAAATCAATAGCTTATTCAAGAAAAATTAATTGTGAGATTTTAACTAAACCGTTTTACTAAAACGTGACACGTGTCAAAAGGGGCTATTGTTTAGCAAAACACGTGTGGCGCTTTAAAACTTTTTAGTTGAAATCTCGGGATGAAGTGTTTCTTGAATCTATATTCCATACTATAAATATTCTAATTACCTGTCAAAAATATTGATATTGACAATGCTTGTCGTAAGCACCGATTTGTGTTCGTTTCAATCGTTAACACAGGTCTAATGCATTTAATCACCAGAGCTCTATGAAAGCAACTAGCCTTCAACTGTTCCATCGTTTGTATTCATTGAGGAAAGTAATCCAGCAATGAATGTTGTTGATGCAACTGATTGTTTACAAACAATGTAGCGTTGGCGCCTTCGCCAAAATCTCTTACACATCTACCTTCATCTTCTGTATATTCAGTGTTACGTTTCATTCAAACAACAAAGCTTGGATGACAAGTTCCTTGTCTTTTATTCGTTTTATATTTTTTACAGGTTCATCCGGAAACGTCAACTCAGTTGGCGATTCCCAGATCAGGCACACCGAAGAAAAACCGGTGACGTACGGAGAGATGATTGTAGAAAAAATTCATGGCATTGGGGAAAAGTTACTGGGACATCACAGATCCGACAGTGACTGTTCTACAAGAGGAAAGACAGGTAAAAATGTTTTATTTGAACATGCCGATACGGAAATAAATGAAACGAACAATTTTTGTTACCTTACTAGATACTTATTTAATATTTACTGACGAATTCACTTTTTTATATGAGAGTGTAGCTATCACTTCGTTAGTCATTTTTGTTTCATGTTTTCCTTGATATTACGTAATTTTTGAATAGTTACTCGCATTTGAAAATAAGTATGATGACTGTAGCAGGGGAGCCCACGATGCAAAATGGGGATTTACTCGAGCGTCATAGAGACCTTTTAGGTTGCAAAGCTTAGATGATAAGAAGAAAAAAATGTTATATAATATATACCTTTTCATCGGTGGGGAAAGCTGCTATAGATTAGTAAATATGTAAAAAAAAACTGTTGCATGAACATACTCGAGCGCGTCAGATATTGATACCATCAATGTCCTACGTATTTTTAATAATGTTGGTATGTTAATCTGATCGATGATGTGGGTGGTTGTACGTAAGGGTTGAAAATGAAAAAAAAAANTCCAGCAGGACCTGGTTTATGCCTGCCGAAAAACAACTACCTCATTAGCTAATACCACGATGGATATTGAATTATATCTGATATGACATTTGCAAATGTATCTGCAAGACTAATGTGAGGAAACTATGCAACTATGATTATATACTCAACATAGATTATAAAACGGTTACCTTCAAATCGCGGTCACCTTGCAAAACCTTTTTTTTAACTGGTTATCATATAATCGCCAAATACGCATATACGCAAGGACTGAAAAATCTGAGCGACAAGCTTTATGATACTTTGTTGATTTCGTTTTCCAAATAACTGAATCATTACTGTAGAAAAAATTGTTGAGTTTTTGACTGGTCACAGTAGCAAATGTAGTGTGTGTTATTAGACTTGAAACTGGAACCTTTGACATAGAAAACCGAGCACTTTTCCCAGTTCTCATGTTAGGGAAAAGTGCTTGGTTTGGATTTAATAAAAATTGTATAATTTTAAAGATGATTTCTGATAATATTTGTGTAACTGAACATTAACGTTGAGAGATAGAGAGTTCTACCTCTTCATAACTCTCTCATTCACGTATAAAATTAAATATATTGAGATTTCGACATGATTAAATCATGATTGAACATAGGATTGGACATTGGATACTTCTAACGACCATGCATGCTCGTCACAACCATGGCACTCTATAATAAATTGAATTTTCTAGTGTTCTATCATAATGTTAATCCGTCTGAGCTACTCTCATTCCCAAAAAAATAGAAATTAAACCAAAAATATAATCATAATTCAAATAAATCTTTTTTTATAGCACTGAAAAAAACAATAACCCATATGTGAACTTCAATTAGAAATTATATCTTTATATCTTTAAAAATTTTGAAGATTTGAATTGAAAATAGTTTTTGGAAACCTCTGATGTGTATCCACTAACACCCAGTTCGCTTCTGAATATCGTCTTGTTTTCCGACACCAACGAAACACATTTCACTACTGTACCTTAAATTATCTCTCATCTGCAATGGCTTTCAAAGGCGGAAGCCCTGATGGTTTATTGTATTTCCTCATTTCTCCTCCAACTCCACAATCATCCGACATCCGATCATCAGCTGGATTTTCATTATTGACCCTTATGAGTACTCAATCACAGACACACACTGGCATATCCAATTTCGGAGACAAATTTCCGGTGTAGTGATTGCAAATTAGTGGATTCTGGTTTCTATACGTCTTTCGGGATAAAAGGAGTAGAAAGTGATTCATAATAATAAAAATTTGTTTTACCCTCATCTTCGATATCCCCACTAGAAACAATGAGTTTCACAGTAGTCAATTATTTGTTTGATAAGGAAATATTTTGTGCTTTATATTTTTATGCTTTATAGTTTTTATATTCTCATACTAACATTTATGTGTTGCATGAGAATATTCATTATTATTATTATTTATTNACGGTAATTAAGGCCCTCCTAATTCCCTTGATACATAAATAACTATAAAATAATAACACTTCTGACAATAATATTTTATCTTCTACAATATCGTTTAAGTTGTGCATCTTATATTTCTTAGAATAGTAACACTTTGTCAATGAGATTTCATCTTCGACAATAAAGTACATTTTAATTTGATTTGATTTGACATAAATTATCTTTTCAATGAAGCAATTTTCTAACGGGAAATCTTGATTCAAGTTACGAGCAAGCTGTAGACTCTAAAAATTCCACTGCTGAAACGAGGTTTGTCAATACTTGCAACAAATCCGAATTGAGAAGTGAAGAACATCATAATGGAATAATTAGGAATAAACTTCTTGCCAGTCCCAACGTCGCTAGCCCTTTTTGGCCAGAATCCACAATTCGATCATAAGCTGATGGTTCAATAACAAAAACGAAAATTCACTTACTGAACAATTCGCCCTCCGCTCCATAGATGATTTTCAAAGAATAAATAAATAGTAGAGGAACATTTTCAAGAACAAGCTCTAAAAAGACACTAACAAACTTCAAACTGAATCAGCCCATTGAAAAATTATGTTTAAAATATGTTTTATCCATTAAACAGCTATCGCACCCCTACGAACGACAACCTTCAAGATTGTACGAACTAAGGACTAACGAGGTCTTACCTTTTAACGTGTGTTTCCTAACACGGGTTGAACGATCGCAAGTGAAAATCGAGCGTTCAGCCTGGGGCTTGAACCATCGACTCACACATCGACCGATTGACTGAGTGAAATTATTCGAGAAGATCACCTACGAACCTGTTTCGAGGTAGATAGTAGAGGAACTCCTAATTTCACGGGTATAATACTCGTGGGGCTAATCTTTTGAGACATCATCGGTTCAATTCACAAAAATCCTCTAAGAACTCACTCGATATCAATCTGTATAATATTCCACCATCCAGAATCATAAATTTACCCTCGTCAAGTTTCTGAAAGCACATCAAGGACTTTGTAATGAAACAAAGTTTTTATAGTACGGAGGAATATGTTGCCACAATCTCAGTGCTTGAACTTTTATAATATCATGCATATTTTATGTTCACTTTCTTTGTGAAATTGTATGTATATTATATTCACTTCCTTTCCTGTACGAATTATTCAATAATATTTCTGTATATTTTAACTGTTATTGTTTTTTATGTTTGTTTACGATGCATAAATTCTCAAATTCGTCTCCACAATTAATTATCACCCTCAGATGTTAGAACGGTAAAATCATCAATCAGTACGTGCTCATCATCAGCAAACTATTTAAAAATTATACAATAAAAGAAGAACAACATAACAATAGGTAATACAATGAAGTATAAAAATACTTACATGGAGAAGAAAATTGTATAATGGAGAAAAGAAAATTATCACACGTTACCAATGAATAATTGGTCACTATGACATGTTGATAGTAATGAACATTTTATATTTAGTAATACGAAGGAAGTTTATAATGATCTAGCTATAAATGAGTGAAGAATGGTAGGTCTAGAGTCATTATACCCACTAATTAACATCAAACTAAAGAAATCATGAAAACGAATTCTAATGAAAGAGATCCAAACTGAATTGGATGAGAAAGGAGAATCAATTGTCAAAAATATATAAAGAAATAAAATCGAGATGACATGGAACAGTGACAAGAGACCTGCAAACTGATTGATTACAATGCTCAAATTAGACTTTTTTCGAAATATTGCTATTTCGGCTTGCGGAAATCGTCAGATTATATATTTTTCGATATCCTTGAATTATTTTCTTCAACATAAAAAAAAATTAGTTACGCTCGAGAATGTCGAGATGACGTTTCTTTTTACAACTTTGCTGTCCTCCCCTTTCTTTACGTCACTCTCAAATTGTCAGATTACTGGAATTATTAAATTTTCTTCTCCATCTAAGTACTTCATTGTATTAACTATTGTTATGTTGTTCTGCTTTTATTGTAGAATTTTCAAATAATTAGCTGATAATGAACCTATATAGGTTCGACACATGTACTTATAACACCCTAAATAATGAACAATTTAGGTCATACTGGTCATACAAGTCGCTTAACAATTCAACATCTACGAGAGGCTTTTGTATGGCCCGCACGCGTAAGCCTCTTCATTCGACCTCTCTAAAGCTTTCTATTGTGTCTCTCATTGCATTTTATCTAAAGAACAGGAAACAGGTGGTTTTTATAAACGATACTTCATCAGATTTTGAATTTATAAAATGGTGTTCCTCGGGACACTGTTCTAGGTCCGCTTTCATTTATGGTGTATATAAATGACATTTTCCATCAAATTTTCCCTGTAGAGTGTATCTGTTATACCGATGACACAATAATCATCAACCAATACAAAGAAATATCTGGTCTTCAGAAACTCTCAAAACTCTCTGCAAAACGAACTGAACCACCAACAAATTGAAACTAAATCGTGATAAAACACAATGAATTATATTCTTTCCAAGAGGCGTCTAAGAGCGAAAATGTTAAGCTTTTAGATATAGTTCTGGATAGTGGTCTGAAATGGACTCCCTCTACAGCAGGACCATGCTGAAATTATTCGAGTAGATCAACTACAGATCAGTTCCGAGGTATTAACTCTCGTCAGTTCAGGAAACATATGGTGTATATGATTGGAGCAGATGAATATTCAGTCTTGATATTTTTTTATTCATTCATTCACCTTTACTCTTGAGACTTTTTTTAAAACGATTGTATTCTAATATTCGTATGGATAAAGTATTAATATGATTACAGTGCTCAAATTAGACTTTTTTCGGAATATTGTTTATACAAGTATATATGGAGCTTTGTTTCTAAACATACTTTGAGGGTGATCCCTCAAGAATAGTTATACTATGAAGACCTCGTGACAAGAGACCTGCAAACGGATTGATTACAATGCTCAAATTAGACTTTTTTCGGAATATTGTTTATACAAGTATATATGGAGCTTTGTTTCTAAACATACTTTGAGGGTGATCCCTCAAGAATACAGCGGTCTATAACCAATGTTATTAAAAACTAAACGTAAAAGTGCATAAATACTGATCTCAAAGCATGCAAACAAGGTGTTGATTGAACTAAAAATACGTGGATCTTCATTAATATTTGTAATAATTGTAGAGGATGCTAATACGCGAAAAACAGTAACTAAACAGTTGAAACAAAGTTTCGTTCAAAAGTTAGAATAGGATTGAAACGCCACAGTTTTCAGCCAACACAACCATTCGATTTCCCTATATTTTCGTGAGCCAGTGAACCTGCTGCTTATATTAACGGATTCTCGTTTTCAGGGACAGTCCACCCCATGCTGACAGTAACCCACACTTCGTATTCGTGCCATGAAGTCCTCGGAAAAAAGAGCACAGATTCCTCCCCATCCCACAGTCAGATATCGAGGAATTCGTCCAAGAAGTCCAATAATTCGCTTTTAGTAAATAACGGCAAACTTGAAGGTATGTCGAGCCTTTATTGGTTTATGTGAAAGGGCGGATTTTCTGTTAGGAGATGTTTGTGAAAACGAAGAAAAACGTTTTTCTGGGGATTTAATAGTTGGGAGTTAGTACAGTAACATCAGTTACTGAGTATAATACGTTCATTGCCATACGAACTTTGACAATTGATAGGTAACGGTCATCTTGTTGAAGCTGCATCTGTCAAATCAGTTGGCATTCATTCAGTCTGTTTTGCCAAATTACCATGGACGTATATAACATTAAACAACATGTGCAAATAATAAAATTGTTTACATCGTCGCTGTCTGTGAGATTATGCAGTAGAATCCGAGACAACCAATTTCGCGTCGCTCACAAACTCGGCCTTTCAGATCACAACTTGGCGAATTTTGCATCGTGACTTAGGCCTGCATCCTCAAAAACATCTTGCGGTTCTGGTGCAGGTGTTTTTAGTTGCAGACCCAGGACAGAGTTATCTACCTGCCTAGAAACTTATGCGACTGTATTTCAAGCGGAAATTTACGCTATTGAATTGTGTGCTGAGAGATTGGATAAATCCAACCTCACTCACAAGTCAATAAAAATATTCTCGGACAGTCAAGCGGCGTTGGAAGCTCTTGGCTCCTACCAAGCAACGTCTAAATTGGCAGCAAACTGCCAAAAACGACTCTCCTCGATAGGAAGACTTAATAGATTGTCTCTGGTCTGGATTCCTAGCCATACTGGCCTGAAAGGCAATGACTTTGCCAAACAAACACTGAACACCTGGATGGCAAGAAGATTTATGAACTTCTGGCAGAATCTTCCAGGATTGGCTCACTCCAAGGCGTTTATTCACCCTTCGAAGCTTGATACCGAACAGGTGTTGGACTACAGTAAGGATGAACTACGATGTCTAACAGGCCTTCTTGCAGGTCACTGTCATTTAAATCATCATATGCAGAGACTTGGACTGTCGGAAGGTAGTGTGTGTCGCCTTTGTCTGGAAAATGATGAAACAGCAGAGCATATACTTTGTGCCTGCCCCGCTGGGGACCGAATCAGGTTCTTAGAGTTCGGCAGATCCGTACTCTCTGTTGAATGGGCTCTGGATCAGTTGGAAACTGACCCTATTTCCATCATAAAATCATCTTCAGCGATGAGGCCCATTTCTGGATGAACGATACTACTCCACATGAGATCCAAGAGCGTCCAATGCATCCCGCAAAAGTCACTGTATAGTGTGGATTTTGAGAATGACGTTAGCCAGGCCATCACTGTGAACGGCTAGCACCATAGGTTGATAATTACAAACTTCTTATGGCCTGAATTGGATGATCTGGACACCAACGACATGTGTTTTCAACAGGACGGCGCTACGTATCACACAGCTCATGCCACATTGGATATTCTGCGCGGGCGATTCAAGGACATGGTCATCTCACGTGGAGGTGATTGAACTGACCACCAAGATCGTGCGATTTGCCATCTCAGGCTATTTTTGTGGGGTTTTCTTGAGTGTATGCAAATCAGCCACAAACCACAGCAGTTCTCAAAGCCAATATAACCGATTCCATCGGTCAAATACAGCCTGATTCATACACATAATTACATCAATAGGTCTTTCAAGCGAATAACAAATTTTGATGATATCTCACACATACTTTGTTTTATTTGTATTTAAAGATGGGGAGCGCTTAACGAAAGACCCTATATATTCAAATTGCTATGGATTATTTATATGTCGGTGAACGATAGTAGCTTCAAGGTCATTATTGAAAAAACGGAATTGATGTTATTCAGAAACTGACAGATAACCTCTGAGTGCAATACCTCAAGAAAAAAGTATTCATATGAATGGACCAAAAATTAAAAAATGTAGATGAAATTGAATATTTGTGTGTGGTCATTAACATTTTTCAACCAAGTAGACATTCATGAAATACAAATCAATTCAGGGAGCTAAGATTATAAAAAAAGGAAAGAAGAAAGAATAAAAAAGGTGCTGCTTCGTTGGCTCCTGTTCATAAAAGAGGACGAATGCCTCATTACTCACAAGTGAATTTGGCCAAATTGGGAACACGTGTAATTCGTTGTATTCATGCCACGTGCCACTATATGGGTGTCTGCAATATGCTGTGTAATGCCCGTTGTGAGTAGTCCCACTGTGATTTGAAAGTGCATATAGATTATAACGACAAGGAGCCACATCGTCTGCTGCATAATTGCTCATATCTAATCCATCTGAAGAAAAGTCAATTGAAACATTTTATTTGTCTCTGAATCTTTCCGTTGGAGAGAATCTTTTCAAATGAATTACTAAAGTACGGGGAAACATATATTGATAGGGACTTTGTACATTTTCTTCTCTGCTTGCATCTCGAACATATTGGTTTTTCATCTCCATCCTCTCTACTGAGCAATGTGACAAACTCAATTGGCCAGTTCTTTGTGGTATGGGAAGAGACAAATCCCAGAAACGATCGAAGGTTACTGATGAGTGTCCACAGTGTGTGCACTTCATAGTGGATTTTAATTGACCAACGATCTTAGAGTTTGTTCATATTCAAATATCTCAGCCAGGACTCTTGTGCTTTTCTGCTGTCGCTCAATTTTTCGTCAATCTCCGTTAAGATCGGTTCAGGTTTCTCAGTAATTCTGTTGAGGTCCTCATGTAAACCTTCTCAAAGATATCGAAGGAATTCGTGGGCGTCTTGATGGGCAGAACCCATGAATCGAGGGGCAAATCTTTGATACTGACTTTTGAAGTAGACTGTGTTAATTACTCTATCAGATGAATCTTCTGATCACATTTCCTTGATAACTTCTGCGAATTAAAACACAATGTACATTGTATTATAACGAAATAAATGGATTCATTTGAAAGAATGAATGGGTATAGAACCATAAATTTATATATTCCTAAATAATTCTCAACCATTAACTTTTAACCCTGTCTATTCTAATTTTGGTTAATTATGCAATAAACTTTGTTGTATATTCTATATTTAGAAAAAATCCCTGCGAGAATCTTTTCTGGAGCAATAAAGATTAATTTTATTATCTACCACATTTTAATACCATACCTTTTTCTATTTCAGAAATGAGACATATTGTCAGGAAAGCTAGTATGTTAGATGTCAACCAAGTGAAAGTATCTCTGAAAGATATCGTTTGCTATCTGTCGCTTCTGGAAGCAGGAAGACCTGAGGATAAACTAGAGTGTAAGTGAAGTTCTTTATTTTGAGTAACTGGATCTGTCATAAAAATAGATATACAAATTACCGTCCTTGAACATGACAAAACATCACTTCAATCAAACTCCTAGCGCATTTCCAAGAGTTTCTTAATGTTGAAAACATTATCAGTATTGAACCAAACTCTGCCAGTAAAATGAAATATTGACGACCTCTTCGAGAAAAAACAGCATTGCATTGAATAATATCCATTTCCGTGTGAAATAATAATACTAACTGAAGGAAAATGAAGTTGTTAAGTAGTTATTACTGATACTCAATATAAAAACATCAAGTGTGGTGTACCTGAAGGAGGGCCTCTTGAACCGATTACCCTCTTGATATACAGAAATAGTTTACATTCAATAGAGATATGTTTCAGCAACGAGGTGAATCTGAAGAATGAAATCTGATACCTTCTGACTGCAAAGGCAAATATGGATATGACCTTCTTTTCTACTACTGAAAACCTTTCTTGTTATTTCCAAAATCAAGTGCCTTTGATTAAATACAAAGACGAGTTTATGCGTCTTCACATTCAATTTCAAAATTGAAGGTGGAAAATTTGTTATTCTATTAATATCAACTTCAATTGTATGTGAAATGTATTTTCAGTAAGAAACACATTTCGGTGTTTTCAGTTATGTTTCGCCTATACGACACAAATGGCGATGGAGTGTTGGACACAAACGAAATGGATTGTATTGTTAACCAAATGATGACTGTGGCTGAGTACCTCGGATGGGATGTCTCAGAACTGAAACCGGTAAGTTTTTCACAAATTCACCGAAAACATTCGCTGTTGATGGCTGCCAAACAAATACTGCACATTCAGCGTCTTCAAATATATGCTTTATAGATTATGTACTTTCTAATATTTTATATTTTTGTGGTAGATCTTACAAGATATGATGATCGAGATCGACTACGATGCGGACGGAACTGTATCTCTGGAAGAGTGGAAGAGAGGAGGATTGACCACCATACCATTACTAGTATTATTAGGACTGGACTCTCATGTCAAGGAGGACGGAAATCACTTGTGGAGATTGAATCTTGCATTCTCTTCTATGAACTGAAGGTTGAACTGGTGAAGCATGTTTCACTACACAGTAATTTCATCAGTTGAACTGATGAAACTGTCGTGTAGGGAAAGGCATTTTGAATAAAATTTGTAGTGTGAAAATGTGTAATAATTATTATCATCGATAATGCATACCAAGAATAAATTGAAATAGGAGAACCGGGTTTGAATCTCAGTCGGGGCACATTTTTTCCAATTTTCACTTCATAATACTCGTAACATTGTCTGTTTTTTTCAATAATCTTGTATAGTATACTGAGTTGTATATATCTTTTGTTGGATGCTTATCATATCACATAGTATTGGTTGACCATAAATTGCTTACCTCTATTCGCATAAGTATGTTACCTTAGATTCGAGTGTACTAATGAACAACTTGAAGAAGAGTAACAGTTGCCTAACGAGGTGGTAAATTGTAACGTGTCTTTCCCAGCTCTTTAAAATTTTCGATATAAATCAGTTTTGTTGAAAATGTTTTACTAATAGATTTCTCTCGTTGATTTCTTCGACAGAATTACCAACGTCTCAAAATTCAAACAAAAGTTTTTCAGGTTGAATATTTCATGTAGATATATATGTAGGTATATCAATCTTATTTTTCCATTTTCAGTTTGTAAATATACGGTACACGAAAGATGTGTCGCTAGAGCTCCAGCCAGCTGTATCGCAACCTACGTGAAGAGTAAAAAATCTTCTCAAACTTTGCAGCACTTCTGGGTAGAAGGAAACTGTCACGGAAAGTGCGCCAGATGTCGGAAACCTGTCAAAGCGGGCATCACCGGTTTGCACTGCAGATGGTGTCAAATAACGGTAAGTAAAATCTTGTATGTTTCAATTTTGTTTTTTTTTAATCACCAATGAGCTATTGTAGAAGCTACAAGCATCAAGTTACATCGATTTCACGAATAATTTTGTGTTTTTTCGTAGTTGCATAACAAATGTGTGTCACAAGTTAAAGCTGAATGCGGTCTAGGAGAACATGCCGTCCATATATTGCCTCCCGTTTCCATTTGTCCTATTGTGTTAGATCGGCAGAGATCCGTGCAGAAAAGAGGTTCGAAATACGGACATGATAATGTAAGTAACAATTTTCTGCAGTTTTCTAGTCTTCTTCCTAATGTTATATCATACATTTGAAACCAATTAATTATCTAGTTCTTCTTCTTCTTCTCTTATTTAATGCGATGGTCCCAGCGTCCATAAGATGGCGCTATAATGACCAGCTCTCTTCCCGTTGTGTAATATACGCAAAGAAAACTTTGTCCGGGAATTACAATCATTTTGTCTTTTTTTAATTTTACTTTTCATTTTGCAAGTGATATCAACTTTCTAAAAAAACATAAAGGTATATATTGTTAGATTTTCTCAGCAACGACTGTCAATCGCACTAAACTCATACATCACTGATTATGTCTGCTGCAGAAGCGGACGAAACGTTTGGAACGTCAGGGTAAAAACGACCACGGCTTACCAGTAGGTTCTCTTCAATCGTGTATCCGGTTATAAATTGATTTTCATTGTAGAGTTGCTCTCAAAGTTTTAAAAACAAATTATGGCCCGGAATAGACACTCAATCTCGTTTTCTATCTTTTGAAGGGTTCCATATCAAATTCAAATAAACAACCAGCCATGTCCTTCCAAATAACGACATCTCCGAATGCAGTGCCTCTGCTGGTCTTCATCAATCCCAAGTCAGGTGGACGACAGGGTTCAAGAATTTTGAGAAAATTCCAGTACATACTCAATCCAAGACAAGTACATATCCTGGGAACTGGTAACGGTCCCATGGCTGGGCTCAGCATGTTCAAGGACGTCCCGAATTTCAAGGTGGTCTGTTGCGGAGGTGACGGCACCGTTGGATGGGTTCTGGAAACTATGGGTTGGTATTTTCAATTAATATATAGAATACATTTAATAGGTATTCAGTGTGAATCTTATCAGATATAAATAAATGAAAAAAGATATAGGTACTTTTCAATTTATGTTTCAAGTCATATCAAACCGACTCTCTTTAAATACATTCATTTTCTTAATGATGAATCTGATTTCTCTCGATTAGTTCTACAAAATGGGTAGATCAGATATAAACAACTCCCAATGATAACAACACATTCAAATGGGCCCAAATCGGATCTGTATATTCTCTCAATTATTTATGTTGTTTGATACATCAGAATATCCAGTTGTAACATCTTCGAACAGGTGATACTTCATTTTTAATAGCTACCGAAACTAGATATGTCAATATAAATTTTCCATAATTGGTGCTCATTATTATGAATTTCGAACTTGTAAAATGTCTGTCGCAGAGTAGGGTTGAAAAAAATGAAGATTTATTTTTCCAAGAAACATACATGTTAAGAGTATAAAAAACACAATAATTCAAAATTATAAAAATCACAATAATTCAAAATTATAACATAACTAAGTACGAATAGAGCAACAAAAAAAGATGAATCAGAACTGAAACTACACACACAAGCACTCACCAAGCACATGTTCAAGGCCATATGGTCTGACACGTAACTCAACGTCAAGCGACGTCATTCAAGATCAAGGTCAAGTGGTGGAAGAGGTCCTCAAGCGGCCTTAGGCAACTACTACACGTGCATAGATCAAGGTCATGAGACATCTTTGATGGTAAAACGTCAAGGTCACATACCGAAGGCAGATCCGAATCTTGAGGTCAACTCCCATGTTCATGGCCATATAGTCTAACACGTAAGTCAAGGGCATGTGACGTCGTTCAAGGTCAAGGTCAAGCGGTGGGGGGAGATTCTCAAGCGGCCTTAGGCAACTAATGGAATCAAAGAACATGCAGTCAACGGGATATGTCGCTTCAATATCTGAATCGAACCTAATATCCATTCTTCTTTTTCCTTATCTTGTCTATGACCCTTCGGTATTCCTCCATATTTTAACCGGTGACATTTAATTAATTTATATATCGGTCGCCTCTCCTCTTTACGTTTAATGTTTTCTAATTTTATCTTCAGCTTTGGAAGAAAATGATAACTTCCAATCTCTTGTACTCTTCTTTTCTTTTATCAAAAGTTTGGCTCTGACCAGAAAATAGTCACACATTGATTTCTTCTTTCTGTTTATGACTAGTTTGGATATTACTTTCCTTTTATAATGTGAACTGTTCAATTGAGGTATGTTTACCATGATCAGTCAATATTTTTGAAATACAAAACTAATATGTATTTCTTTGAAATTATCCATTTTTCTTATCATATTTGTACCGTTAAGGTCACGAAGAATCAATAAATAATATTGATTTTTTTCACTTTGATGAATATTTCTTCATTATTTAGTAAAAAATCGGACTTGCATTATCTTGAAATGTCGAATTTAAGAAATGGTGATTTCTTTCTACCTGTTCCAACCTAGTATTTTTTTGCGGAAATATCTATAATTCAAGCGAAAGTTTTACCAAATTATAATATTTGTACCGTTAAGGTCAGGAAGAATCAATAAATAATATTGATTTTTTTCACTTTGATGAATATTTCTTCATTCTTTAGTAAAAAATCGGACTTGCATTATCTTGAAATGTCGAATTTAAGAAATGGTGATTTCTTTCTACGTGTTCCAACCTAGTATTTTTTTGCGGAAATATCTATAATTCAAGCGAAAGTTTTACCAAATTATAATTATTGTGACCCAAATACTTCCTACATATACATGTAACGCCGTTTCAGATAAAGTAGAACTAGAATGCCAACCAGCGATTGCTGTGATTCCCCTGGGCACAGGAAATGACTTAGCGAGGTGTTTGCGATGGGGAGGAGGTTATGAAGGCGAATCGATACACAAAATCCTTCACAAAATCGCCAGGGCAACCAGCGTAATGGTCGACAGATGGCAGATCGAGCTGTACGACACCGCGGCACCAGATCCCGATCAGAAAATCGACACTAGGATTCCCTATAATATCATAAACAATTATTTCTCAATAGGCGTCGTAAGTACTGTGTCTCATATAGTTCTGAAGTGTTCCTCTAAAATTGTTATGAATTAATATTCAGGATGCTGCAATTTGTGTAAAATTTCATCTTGAAAGAGAAAAGAACCCCGACAAATTCAACAGCAGAATGAAAAACAAGTTGTGGTACTTTGAATACGCTACTTCCGAGCAGTTTTCAGCTTCCTGCAAGAATCTGCACGAACATATTGAAATCAGTGTAAGAATCAATAGTTTTTATATGCTCCATAATGTCCAGACCATTTTTTCAGTGTGATGATGTTGGGTTGGATTTAGCCAACGGGCCACCGTTGCAAGGGATTGCCCTCCTCAATATACCATATACCCACGGAGGATCGAATCTTTGGGGTGAACATCTGTCGAACACCAAACGGAAAAGCAAACCCAAAAAACGGCAGAAAGACTTGAGCACCAGCAGTTTTAATTCAGTGGATCTCAGCGTGGCGGTGCAAGGTTAGTTCAATTTATTTTCTATGTTTCCATATACAGAACACCTCATTTTCAAGGTGGAACAAAACTAAGAAAGTAGTGTTACGTTTTTCCCCGCGGGTTGACCAATAATTGATTACACTGAACAGTAATCAAACTTAACTTTATTTCACTTCAAATACAACAAACACTTCAACTTAAACTTCAACTATTATTCGAATGTCTATCGCCTTACTAGATCGCTTCGCGTACCGCACTGTAACTTCCAGTTGACTGTGTCGATATGCTCGTGGCTAGCGTTTATATATCGTAATCGAATGCACTAGAAAACTTCGCCGAAATTCCATCGCTGCATGTAGAGCGACAGCGAACATCATACATTCGCACGCTCTTAGCTACGTCACAATTGGTTTATGGCTACCAGTGGCGGCCGGCGTTATTTTCTTAAGGGCATGATTTAAAACAGTAGTAAGAATTTGGATCTCGAATGCAAATATGAAAGAATTCTAAAATTGTTTGCAAGAACAATAAATTGAGACTTTTCATTTATAATAGGGGAGCCCAAGCGGGGATTTACTGAAGCGCGGCAGATTAATATACAGGGGGATACCTTGTACCCGGATAAGTACCTCCACCAAATATGAGCCCCATATATGAGGCCGCCCGTGAAGGATAAAGGATCTATCTATATTACTCTCTCACTCCGTCTCCACTCTGAATTCTGTTGCCATGACGCCATCACAGCTGATCACAGAGACTCGTTCGTGATGAAGATAATGATTAATGAATCAATTAATTGAAGGATGAAGCCGTTACTACGTGGTAGGAAATCATAATGAAAAAAAGAGAAATGAAACTTTCTGTTTTTTACCACTCTTATTTGTAACTAACACTTTCTATGTTTTTTATCACTTTTATTTGTAACTAACGTTACTGCAGTTTCCTCCTATAATTACTTCTTACCTGAAAGTGATATTATTATAAACTATTCCTTAAATCTCTAGTCTTCGAATATTCTTAATTTTTGAAAATGACAATAATATTATTTATTCTATATTTTTGTGTAGACTTTTCATATTGTCAGTATTATTTTTTAATTTATTCAAGGAATAACGTATATCTTAGCTTGTTGGATGTTTTGATCGCGCTGGGGAACTGTTAGCTAGTTGACTAGTTTTTCTCAGTGTACAAATTATAAAAGACTATGTACTGTTGTTTAAATGTTATAAAATTTCATGTTCTATTCGTTTCGTTGTCGAAATAACATTGCTGATGCTTTTCATACAAGAGTGATCTTCGTTTTAGAACACAACTGTCAAGTGTACCGTCTAGAAAACCATAGGGACCATTTTGCTTAAACTTATCCCGCCAAAACATACCTTGCTCCGTTATATAATAGAATTTCATAATATTTTTGTTCGAAAGTTTTCACAACTTGAAGCAGACGTTCGTGATAAACTATTAAGTCTGATCGTTCGAATTGAATTATTTCTATTTACCGAAATAACTCTTCAGTTTGTGAAAATGTTTTCGAACCAGAACCTTAGAAGACTAATCCGCAACAGAAACATTTTGTAAACTATCAAGTCTTATCACATAAATGAATTGTTGAGTAATGAATTTATAGGCATTTATAATCACGTAGGGCAAGTAAATACCCCATTCCTGGTGTCAAGACTTGTCATTTGATTTTCTTGAAGACCTTCATAGTTTGCGTTGGATCAAAGTACGGGGTACTAGATTCTTCATGAGATACCTCTATTGATATTGGAAAAATATGGGTACTAAGTTCTTCATGAGGTACCTCTATTGATATTGGAAAAATATCAATTATAGTATATTTGAGAAAACAATCAACCCCCTTCGGTAAACTCGTAGTTCTACAAATTTTTTCGCATAGTGAAGTTTTTGTCGAAGAAAATCATAAACAGTGGTGAGTAGATCTGTGAAATTTTTTATTTCAATGAGATGATATTTTTTCCCTAGTCTTGATGCTATAAATGTAGATTTACAAAACCCTGACTATTACGCTTATATGCGTCTGTGTATAAACTATGTTTACATTAGTAGTATTTAATATTTAATTGGTTATGGTGTAGTTTATTCATGAGAAATTTTTGAATAACTAGATTCTAGTTTTAGATGTTCTGTTAAAGCTAAAATATTTTATACTGATTTTCTAAGTAGTTCTATGTTATATTATTGTTTAGAAACTTTGACAATTTTTTTGTCTGTAGGTTGAATTTCTGAAATCACTGGTGTCACAAACATGTCTACACTAATATTTTGTGACGAATTATTCCGTTTCTATTTTTGTGATCTTAAAGAAGAATAATGTTTTACCCTCTAACTCATTTCTTTTAATATAGTAAAATTTCGAATGTTTCACCAAAAACTGAATTGTTCAACCATTCACAAAAAAAATGTGGCATTTATGGGGGGGCACATAAACAAATTTGAACGAATTCAATATCATATTTTATTCATCCAACCTATCAAATAATTGCCTGACTATCTAGACAAATCACCTAGAACAGAAAATTGCTCACTCAACAAAGAAATCGGTTTCATGTCAAAAAATCAGAAACAAACATTCCATTATTTCAGGATTGATCATGAATCTTCCATCAAATATTAATTGATATTATCAACCATATCAATTTTTCCGATGAAGGAAAATTAAATTTTTTTCCTTAACGATGATTTCAGGAATTTTTCCAGAAGGTTGAAAATATGTATCAAAATAGAAAACTGCCAGTAGAGACGGCGGACAAGTTTTGAATTGCTGTAAAGCTTTAATTGTAAAATAAACATTGTATATTGGTAGTTATATTTTAAGACATTTCGCCTTGTATATGTAAAGCTTTACGTCCAAATTGTAGATTTTTATAAAATAGCTGCAAAATTAGGAATCGCTACCGAAAGAGAGATGTTCTGAAATATTGTAAGAAAATAGAATGCACTAGATTCATAGTCTACTTACACTTTAGAACATCGTCTTCTTTGATATTTACCTCATATTTTTCAATATTGCCCTGAGCGTGCCCCAGTAACAGGGTAGTTCTTTAACATCCTGAAAAACGTAGCGCCTTGTACCTTTCCAAAAAATCTGATTGAATTTATACAATTGATCTTTAATTGTTCACATCTGAATTCGTCTCAATTATAGTTTTTGGTATATTTGAGGACGATATTTTTTCAAATTCTCTGTTCAGTTGGAGTATAATTTTTTCATCTTATTTCACACTCATCAAAATTTTAATCTATGTTATGAATTTTGATATTTATTAATAAATATTGTGCTCGTATAATAAATATAGGCATTTCATTTATACCCGTGAAGAAACCAAAGCAAATAAGTTCAGATTTTGAGTAAAGCTGAGACATATGGATATTTGAAGTCATAATACAATATCAATAAATAGAAAAATCTGAAGTTAACGTTTTCTCAGTTAACTCAGACTTTCGCGTCTATTCCCTAATACGTTGTACGTTTTCTTTTTAAATAAATTATTGTACAAGAGCTACAGCAATACTGAACTCTGGAATATTTTCACTTCATTATCCCCTGAATTAGTTTCACGTTTTATTTTCGTAGAATATTTATTACATATAATAAATCATTGACTCAAATGTCATACCATACAAGGATAGGGTCGAATATTAGGGAATTGATGCACAACATATTTGTTGACATACGAAAAAATTTCGATGATGCCTGTACAATTTTGTTTTATAGCCAAAAATATCTAGATGTCGGTAAGATGTGAATGAGAAACGAAGAGATTTACAATTAATACAAAAAACCATATATTTGGCTCAAGATACACAAATACATTTTGAATTTTAAGAAACCATCATTTTTATTCATTGATAAAAGGACCTCTCTGTCAACAAATTCCAAAATATTAATCTTAGGATATGAAAGATCGATTAGTATTGAGTTTTTAGGTCCATATATAGATGAAACTCTTTCGGTGGAGTACCCAGATTGGTTTAATTCGAAAAAAGTCAGCACCAATCATATAGATACCATATAAAATAAATAATATGAATTATATTAATAAGCATCTGAAGCTAATTCAGTTTTCTCTGTTTCATTCAAAATTACAAAATTTTATTAGCAGAGAGGTAAACGGTTTCGAAAACAACTTTGAAAGTACAAGCTAACATATACTGTTGTTAAAATTCTCAGAAAGTCATACCACTGGGTCAAAAATTTACTAGTTAATATGGGTGTTGAAGACAACATTTTGGCAGGTCAACGTGGCCTCTTCGGTCACCGACTTTAAATAACTTGACCCGAGAAAAAGAAAGGCCAAGAGTTTTGATGAAACTCGGTCATCTAAGTTGTAACAAGTATTTGCTTGATCTTCACGCAAAAGCAGAAGTGGGTCATCTAGATTTTCCTCTCCATAATGATCTGAAAAATTCCAAAACGATCTAGACTATTATCATATATTCCAGAATGTTTTTCCATCTCCTAGAAAATGACAGTCCTTGTATATTAAAAAGGACTCCTTTCAGATAAAAAAAACCTTTTTCATGGTTGGAGGATAGAGGGCTATGACAACATCGTTCCACGATGATCTGAGATATTCCCGAACGTTCCATATTATTCCCAAACTATGACAGAAATAAATGGTAGGCATATATGTTCTCCCACCCGTGCGAAACCGGTTCGTGTCGTTGCTAACACTGGATAATTTTGACGTCATTACACCACAGAGAACCAGGTTCAAATTTCAAATTCTGTGGCAAACTCGAAATCAACTTTGAAAATACATGCAACCTTCTGTAGCACAAAAATGTTAAGGAGGGTCCTTTCCACAAGGTGGCGTTAGCGTCAATGTTCAAAATTGTAATCAGTCCGCGATTCTCTCTAATGATTAATCTTAGTAATCAATTTGTATGGTAGTTTTCACACCATATCTTCTGGGATAATATATTGTTTTACATTTCACTAATTCCCAAGTTTGACACCACGCAAGTCGCCAGGAAAATCAATAGCTAGTGACGGAAAATCCAAACCTCCAAATCAAATGAGAAACGTTCTTTAAGATGCATCATCTCGTTAAATTATTCAAACTTGACCCTTGACTGCTAATAAACAACAAAATGATGAATGGAATCGCTTATAATGATACCAAACACAATTACATGTATAACAATTTCCTACTTAACAGAATAAATCACACAACAGTGGCAGCGTATCCGTTCAGATAATTCGCCTTCATCTTCACTAATATTTTCGAAATCCATTTTCACTAGTCTGACTGAATTCATTGTTTTTGTGAAACTACCGGCTCATTTTCTTTCAATTTATATAGACATATTCACATTCAAAAAATCTTCACCGTTAGCCACACATTATGGCCACAACATTGTGGCCACGTTGACTGCACTTCGCGGTTGACCCAACCACATTTTTGTGGACGACTTAGAGCGCCCGTACACGAGCCACATTTTGCGGTCGGATCGACCACAGAATTGCAGTCGCGTTCCAGCGAACTCAAGCCGCCCATAACAAATACTGTATTACACACGGGCGTTCACAAAAGTCAATACGGGCGTCTGTAGTCAACTTGCTGCTGATCTCCGCCGAGATGTCATCGCGACATCCGCCGTACACTAACCCCAACTTGCAGTCGTACCCAACCGCGTACCTATTGGTCTCACAGCATTCAATTTTTGATGTCAGTTGCCTCAACTGCAAGTGCGGTTTATATGACCGCAAGTCGACCACAAAAATGTGGTTGGGACAACCGCGAAGTGCAGTCAACGTGGCCACAATGTTGCGGTTGCTTCAACTGCAAATATGTGATTATACAAGCCAGAGCCAGGAAGTCTAGGGATGAAACCTTACTTCTAGGTCAGGAAGTTCCCGGCACAGTTTTCATTTTCGCAAATATTATGTAACTATGCGACTCACGGGATTACTCGCATAATCACAGGGGCGTAGCTTTTGGAAATTCCTAGAGGAATCGGCTAAATGTTCCACAAATGATAATAATATGTTCGTTCCGGTTATTGGAGTCCTTGGTGAAATTATTCCTCTCTACTCTCGAATCTCAAGAGCATGTCGGATTACCACATTAAGGTAGAAATCTTGGCAGGCCAAATGTAGAAAGCTGTCATTGTTGACTCATTGCGCACCCAATGATCACTCACCCCACGGTGTGGGGTAATATGCAAAACAATGTGTCATGAAACGAAACAAATAATTTCAAAGCTAAAATTTACGATCCCAATACTTCAAACAAATATGCTACCATATATCTTTCGAAGGTTAAATTAGAAGGGACATCATTGCTGACGAGACTGCGAATAATACTCGCACTTTCCCCATCTCTGTGCGCAAAGGTACTGTCCCCAGCTCTTGAGACAGTAGTACTGTCTCGAGCTCTTGACACATTAGTACTGTCCGCATAGCTCTTAAAACACACTGTTCCCACAGCTCTTGACACAGTACCTCCACAGCTCTCGACAGTGTCCTTACAGCTCTCGACATTGAGTCTTTCACGGCTGATGCCGTGAATAATACTGCGAATAATACTGTAATCAACTCTGTACGCAGTGGTACGGTCCCCAGACACAGTGTATGCACAGCTCTTGACAGATCCTCACAGCTCTCGACAGTGTCCTTACAGCTCTTGACATTGGGGTCATTCATGGCAGTGGTACTGTCCCCAGCTCTTGACACATTAGTACTGTTCCCACAGCCTTTCACACAGAGGTCATTCATGACTGACGAGAGTGCGAGTAGTTATGATGCTCCATAGGTGAACTTAGTCATGAAAGAAGTCTTTGTGTTTTTCCAATACGGATGACGTGTTCCTTGCCTATAAACGAATAGGTACTACTAATGTTTATCAGTTAAAATCATATCTGAATGATGTCGAGTCATCCTGGTTGAACAATTGGGAAAATATGGCCCGCATTTTTTCATAAAACATTTTTAGTTGAACGATACTGAAATATTTCTAGGCTATATTCATTATTCAAAACGCGTTACAGTAGTCGATAAAACTGACGTAATTATCTTTCTACAATATTTAAATGTAAGAGAAAGACTATACATCCAAGTCAGTTAGAAACATTTGTTTTTCCATTAACTAGCTGGCAGCGCCGCTTTGCGAACCAACGCTGATAAGTCGGAACATGTGCGAGCTAAGGATTAACGCGGCCTTACCTCTTAACGTGCGAGTCCATACATTCATATGTTTATATAAATTCATGAATGATATGCTTTCCGAATGCCTCAAGAATGAATACAATTCTGAAGTGGAAGCCACCCATATATGAGAATTTCAAGTGATATCCGCTTAAGAATAATATATTATTTTACAAGATTTTCAAAAATTATTTAAGGTTTTCAATAGAAACAATTTTGTGAAAATTTAGTAAAATTCAGAAAAATATGTTTAATTTTTGCAAAGAATGACATTAATTTCTGGGAAATATATTTTTATCAAATCGATTTTATAGAGAAATTTCATATTTCATGTTAGTGTGTGATGTGTTTATGTTAATAGTTGTATTCAATATTTTCATTGTTATCAGCTATAATATCCCAAGGACANATTTGATAGGATAATTTTTTTGGCAAAAAATTTTCATTATTAAATAATCAATTATCAAATAATGTCTTGAAAAATTAATGTTCATCAAATAATATCCAGATTACCATAATTATTGTTAATACATACTTCAATATACTCTGGAATTGATAGCTTTGAAGTGTCAAAAGCCCGTATGAAAGGCACCTGTTATCCATCTTGCTGCACTCCACTGCCTCAACGCCATTACCTCAGTGAAAGAGAAGGGTGAACAAAATCAATATGGGTACATATAGTGGTTCAGCTCTAAGAAAGGCATTCCTCCGGTTTCGATTATTTGAACAAAAATGTGTAGAATTAACAAACTTCGAATAAAAAACCATCGTCAGTACAAAATAGTAACAATAATAAACAAAGTAATAAATTAGTGAAAAAAAGACAACGTAAAAATAGGTACTTGATATGTGATTGTGAATCTCATGTTCAACAAAGATGTTCAAAATCTTGGTGTCTTTAGGTAATGTGAGAGTATTTTCAAATATTTAAGTTTCTACCGAGTATTAGCAAGATTCTGGTAGCGTTTTTTTTGTGATCATATTTTTGAAATATCATTATTTGAACTTCAAATTATAGTTCTAGATTATTACCGTAGTGTTTCAACTGCTTTTGACAAAGAATTAGAATCATAGTTTCCCTTTAGTAAAATTTTCGCGATATTTTTAATGAAGGAGTTGACTTTATTGCAGTCTGTTATATAACTTTTGGAACTGCTCAGTGGGAGTGTGCTCGTGAGTAAAAAAATGATTTTTTTTGTAATTTTGCTTGAAGTAATTATTACTAATACTTGATTAGATTTTTTTTCATAGAAGCGGCTAGTTGACTATAAAATGAAAAAATTAAAAACATTTCTAATAGATCCATCCACGCAGATTAACAAAAAGAAACAAACTTGGATGGAATTTAACCACATTTTCTTATTCACTTTATTTCTTGGATCATATACAGGATAAGTCAAGTTGAACAGGCTTTTTTGAGAATATAAAAAGAGAAGTCGGTAAGAGAATGTGTTTGTATATCTCGAAAATGTTTTGCTCAGACATAAATACTTCATTTTTGGGCTATAGTACAATCTGGTTAACTTTCAATGAATGCTGCAGAGGCAGAGAGAAAGCGATTTCCCGTTAGACAGCTTGGTTTTGCAACTGACCGCCGTAGAAACTCTCGTTTAACTTGAATTAGCAAGGTTTTTTGTTCTGTTGATACAACAGACGCCATCTATGGTATCATCTTCATAACGGAAGAAACTAGCTTGCAACTTTTCTCAAAAATCCTTAGATTACGCCAGTCGAGAGCTAACAAGCAACTCGGACTGCTATAAACCCTCAAAAAAAACTATTTTGCAAAAAAAATTGGTATTGAAATGAAAAATGTCATGTTAGTTTGAAATAGTAGAATAGGGGTCCTTTTTAATATTTTCTAATTTTTTCAAATACGATCCTCTATATTTATGAGCAGGTGTTACATCCTGCCGAAAACTTTTTCTCTTGATTAGTAATGACAATTTTCAAATTGAAAGTGGTATTTGTATTTGTAGAGCAGGGAGGGTGAGTGGAGGCCTACAGCACTTAGGCTACATGTGACCCATTCTACATCCTCCCAATAAGTTGTCCTCCTAGGTCCTATCATTTCCAGGAAGGTGGACAGGTCGCTTCGAGACATCTCCTTTATATCGGCAGGTGTAAGCCAAGACTCGCCGAACACACACACTCTCTTATTGTGGCTTTTTTCAGCCACTCTAGCCTCACGTCGTCATCGCAGACCACTCTGATGATTTCACCGGAATGTCCACGACTTGAACGTGGGCGGTTTGCTGTTGCTGCTGGAGGTGGGGAAGATGATCTCGTCCAGCTCCTCCAGCATTTGATTTTTGATTAGACTCTCCCGTTCTGTGGTAACCTTGCCATATGGGTTAGTCTCATCTATGATGGCAACCTTGAGGTGTCTCACGGCGGCCTCCGCGAAGTTTTTGGAAGGCACAGGGACATTACTGTCGTTGCGCGGCTTCTTCAACCTTCTTGGGGTTCCCTTCGTGGGGGTGCTCAAGTGTGGGCGCTTTCCTGCAGGGGCAGCCGGTTCCTTGCCTTTATTCAAGGCGGAGCTCTTGGCGCCTGGCGCACAGAGCTGTAAAATCACCTAAAACTTGGCCATATATGAAATTTGTCAACTTCAATTGTCACCGGTAATAATGGACATTAGGACAGGTAGATAAAAGGGTCATCCTTTGTGACCATCATTACCTGTGTATGTCCATTATTTGTGACATGAGAGCAGTTGAAACCTAGCGTTTGTTCACTATGCATGTGTTTGTTTTAAATAACCCCTCAAATCTCATTACTACCTACTGGCCCAGTTCCTGGAAGTTCCAAAGGTCGCCCGAGCAAAGAATTCGCGGAATCAAGTGAACGCACAAAACGTCGTAAAACAAAGGAACTCAGAGAAAATGTGGTTGTTGATGAACTGACATATGCAGCACAGCTAAGTCATCGATCTAGTGGAAACAATGGCATTGCAAAGGTGACCAAAAGTCCAACCAGTGCGGTGAAGTTTCGTAAAGCAGCTGCTATTGGGAGTAGGACTGTGGCTACAAAAAAACACACGTCCGAAAAATCTTCATTATTGAAGCCGATTTGACCATGAATCAACATGAGGTGATTCATATATACAAAAAACATTAGCGAGACTATTGCAAAGGTAAAATCACAAGACTTGTTAGACCATACAGCATTGCGACTCTGTAAATATTTAGACCCTATCCCTCAAATATATGCTCCTGATGAAAATTCGTACTTCGGCTTTGTCCTGATGTATAAATGGGGATGTGATGGTTCCAACCAAATTCAATATAAGCAAAAGTTTGAAGAAGAGAGAAGCAGTGATGCATGATGACCGATGAATGGTAATCAAATAATATGGCAGAACACGCAATTTTCATCGCCAAGATTTTCAGGCATATACGTATCAGATATATAAAAGAAGATAAGGATATCACGAATGAAGAAATTGAGTATAACACCAAGCACAAAAACTCGAGATGACAACCGCCTTTATCTCATTTCATGTCTTATGCAATAAACCCTTTTTCAATACAAAAACATATTTTATATTATCTTCATTATTAATTTGTCTTTATTTTTATTAAGAATATCACAATAGGTCAATTTCTATCCATAACATTCAAAAAAAGTGAGAATTCATTTTTGGCCACGTTTTAGGTGTTTTTACCACTCTGTGCGCCGCAGTAAGTACCCTTGCTGTTGGAGGTGGAGTGGGGGAGGAGGAGGGTGCACTTATAGTTGCTGCGACTCCTGCCTTTTTTACTGTCTTTCTCCTTTTGGCCTCGGTGCCGCAAATGCGCTTTCGCCTTGGCTTTTTTATTACATCACGAGGTGATCTGCAATGTCCAGCCTCATTCCAAGCGGTAGATTGGGATATTACTGGAGTTTTTTTCCCAACACCAAATCGTTATTTTTAACACCTCGACACGTGTTTCGATCACCAAGTGATCATCTTCAAAGAGGAAGATTGGGGTGGACATTTCTGTTCATCCGCAGCCACCGCCTTAGATTGAGGTGAGCAATTCTATCCAGCCTCGGCATTGGGTTTTGTTTTTGTTGTTTCTGTTTTTGTTTCATTCATGTGTGTTCCCACGAGTAGCAAGGGAAGAGTTGGTCACCTCTTGATTACAATGAGGTTTCGCCCGGTTCCCCAAGGAGATCATTTGTAACAGCATATCACTCTGCAGCCATTCAGCTGTCGGCACGATTCCTTACACTTTAGCTTGTGTAGACCGGTCCACGGTGGCATATTTCGCAAAGGCTTTTGGAGAGTTTTAGTTCTTCTCATCTTACTTATTTCTGCCACTGACCAGGAGTCCGGCGACCCCGTCCGTAAGCCCACGTTGGCTTCCCAGGCAGAGCCCCCAGTCCCCTGGCCGTTCCCATATCCGCCACCTGGAGACGCGCCCGATAGGTAGCCCAACCCACGGGTTGAAAGTGGTATATTTTCAGGGGAGATTTTGTATAAAGATGGAGAACTGAAAAAAATGGAATTTGTCGGGCCATAAAACATTACGGAAATTATTTACATTAGTATAAACGTTATTTTTCAACGTTTCTATCCGATAGTTAGGAATCTTAATTCAAAACTTGTAAGATACACCTTCTTCTCACGATCGATTTAAAAAAAAAGTATTTTATTGATTCCTTTGTTCTTCTCAAAAAATGCCTGATACTTCACTCAACTTGGTATAGCCTGTAAACACGTTTTGTGTGTGTACCAATTCATCGCAAGCACTACCCTATTCATTTTTCCAGCACCAATCATTTGTTAGTTCAGCCTTGGGCCTTGGCAAAATTTCATCCTTGCACGATTTCCATTTCCAAACCTTTCGGGTACCATCTAACAAAGGTTTCAAAGACATAGATTTTTTAAAACGGTATTTCTTGTTTTAGAAAAGTTAATCTACTTGTAGAAGAAATTTCAACAACTTTGAAAAAGTTGAAACTTTGAGAATAAACAACACGTTCAAAAAAAAGAGTTAAAATCGAATAATAACTTAAATTTATGTAAATTGATGGATGTAGTCGTTACTACGTGGTAGGAGATCATAATGAAAAGAGAAATGGAAATTTCTATGTTTTTTAACACTTTTAAAATTGGTAAAAAACATAAAAATTTTCATTTCTCTTTTCAGTTAAATTTATGTTCCTCTGAAATTAAATTTATATGCACTCGACCAAGTCGAAGTAAAAGTAATGTTAAAAAGGAAATTTTGAACGATAAACAAGTGTTAAGCTAACTAAGTTTTTGACAAGTTGTGTATATGTTAAAATTAAATTCATGTTATATGTTAAATTTGCGAATAGGTTAAAATTAAATTTATATGCACTTTTGACCAAGTCGATGTAAAAGAAACTATTGTTTAAGTGGAAATTTTGAAGAAAAATTAATTGAGAAGCTAACTTTGAGTTTTTGACCAGTTGTGTATATGTTGAAATTAAATTCATGTTATATGTTGAATTTACATATATGTTAAAATTGAATTTATATGCAATTTCGACCCAGTCGAAGTAAATGTAAACTCGATTATTAAAAAGGAAATTTACTTGTATATTAAAATCAAATTCATATACACTTGTTGTTGTTTTTGAAGTGGCAATTTCAAAGAAAAAACGAGTGAGAGGCTGACTTAAGTTTTTAACAAGTCATGTGTACCACCGAATAAACCTGGCGTACTAGAAATAATTAATATCCAGGGATATATTTGAATGTATTTTATATCGATATAACATATTTCACAAATATTTTCGAAATTACTTTATGAAGTTGAACTTGTAGTGAGGGAATGTCTACAAAATTATTGTAGTGAAAATTGGTCTGTCAGTAATTATTAATAATAAGTAAATTTTATTATCAAAAATACTCTATTTTCACTCCTGTTTTGGATAGACAACTGAGAAGATTTAATTTTTTTAGTAATCAAAAATCAATGGGAAATTATATCATTGTATTATTTTTAAACCTGATATGGATTTAACCATCTTGGACTTGACAAATATAAGCAATTTTTTGAGCACCGATAAATCCGATGTATAACCTGAGTAATTTAAATTCTACATAATATGAAAGCAAATAACAATTTTACTTTAAAGAACTCTTGGAAACTAATGCATTTTTTGCTCCAGGAGTTTTATATTCTTTAGTGGAGATTAAAGTTCTCAAATGTTGCATGGGAACGGTTGAAATTTTGGAAGATATTTGGCAACACCGCTGTATAGATAAATATGCCATTTTTCTGCGGTATCTTCATGAATAATGAACAATTTCTGTAATAAAATTCACATTGACTGAAGTACTGTAAAAATCGCATGGCAGAACCCCAATGCACGATGCACGTTTTCATCTGTTACATTTGTTGGTTGTTTCAAGAAAATCAGGAAAAATTATTTCATCTTATCCATAAAAATAAATCTTAGAGATGATTGTTACGGGAATAGACAATATATCTGTAGGAAATCTGGAAAATTTTTGACGGACCAAAACTGAGAATTTATCACATTGAAGGGCAAACACAGTTGGAAAAATGAAAAAATGCATATGCGTCATCAATTTGTGCATCCGATATGAGTCGACAATCTAATCTTTTAATGAAGAACTGATTTTATTTTTGAAAGGTACCAATAGCGAAAATTAGTCAGAAAAAACACATTTTATATTCCAGTTTTCAAATTCGATATCTGGCAATTTGAATTTTCCGGTATGCGGAATATCAGACAGAACCATTCTCAATTTGAGGTTAAAATAAGTTTATGATATAAAATTCACGTACTGTGAAATATAAAATGCCCACAGTTATCAGTTGTGAAGTATAAAAAATTTGTAACCAGAAAGAAACTTTTTGATAAATATGTAAACTGTCAAACTATAGAATAGGAAGAAATTGCCGATAACTCATACTTATATAGCTATATCTCTTTGATATATCGTGAGAAAATGCAAAAGTAAACTGTTTTGTGTTTCTTCTCGACTTAAAGAAGAAAATGTTAAAGTATTTTAATAATTACGCATGTGTATTCTTTGCCGTCCCGACTGTAAAGACTATCAGTGATAGCAAAACTAGAATCCAGCCAAGGTTAGGAAGTGGATGGTACTATCCACGGCTCCATGTTGAATCTTAAGGTGAGTACAGACCGGCCAACAAAATTTTGGTAACATGTTGATGGATGTTGGCAACATATTTGTTAGACACAGCAACTTGTATCCTGATACATGTTTTCAACAGTGTTGCACGTCCAAACCAAAACCACTAGCCTGTCGAAAACGAACTCAGTGAAAATGGAACTGAATACTGCTGCTTTTGTAATTATAGCTACACATGCCCAAAAGCGAAAAAAAAAAATGGTGGCAGACAGTTTACAACAAATGAGTCAAGCCATGGCAACAACTTAATGTCAGGATAGAAGTCGTTCCACAATTTCAATGTCCCACAATGCAGGAGCAGCTTTAAACATTTCGATTAGCTCCTTGATCCATATCATGTTTGCTCTTGAAAAGAATAACAATGAACTACATTCTAAAGTTTTTTGAATAATAAAAATATCCACAAATAACTTACCTGCTAGATGAAGTTGTGATGAGAAGGCTCACTACCGACACCACTTATTAACAACACAGTATACATGAAAACATGCAACAGGCAACAAATTTCTTTCACGTTATGCCACCTGATATGTCGACTAGCAAGCATCAACTAAAGTACAATTCCATAATAGTTGGCACTAAATTCTCAGAAAAATTATTGCATCATTACGAAAACGTTGTTATCAAGGTTGTGATTGTATAAATGTTATCATCATTTTTCCTCATCTGTTCAGTATAATTACTGCACGCCACTGCAAGAGACAGATTAAGGCAAAAACGTCGGTCATTTCTGTGAATTTAGTGCCTACTATTTTGGAATTATAGTATAGTTGTCTGGAAACATGTTGACAACACCAATATCAACATGTTACCAACGATTTGTTTGCCGGCCAGTACTTACCTTTTTAAAAGAGATCAATTTCCTAACGCCTGATCATCGCTATTAACAAACATTTTCTTCACAATGTGACCAAGAAATAGAAATACTATGGCATTTAAACCGATTCGCTACTGTTTTGTCAAAATATCTCAACGCGAAAAATGAATGTGACCCAATTTTGTATACATGTTGATAGATGGTGCAAGAATCGTTTCCAAATGTAAACATTAGCACCGTATACAGTTTAGAAGTAAACACAAGTAAATTCACTCCCGGTCGGCGTTATTGATGTATCGTGCACATTTGCACGAGGTTCGATCAAAAAATATGTGAACATGATCTGACTTCATCATTGCTACTCGGAGCTCACAATAAATATCTCATATGATTGTGAACTGTGAATTGATAAAAAATAAAACAAGGTGGTGAAATAAACGTATGTTTTGTAAAGTGAGATTATACAATTTGGGCCAAAAACTTATGCTAATCTATTCTGAAGGTTTTTCAGAATGATGAGTTTTTGTTTTTTTACATTTGTTTTCAAACTTCAAATATAATGAATTCATACCCCTGTGAAAAGAGAAAATAAATGATCCGAAAATAAGTAAATTGAAGAGAACTGGCCGATACTTAATGAAAATCCATATTGAAACTAATAAATACGGTTTATTGTATGATTTTCACTATAAAGGGTTTTACAAAAACCGCGACACGTGTTTCGCTATACAAATAGCTTTCTCAAGCATAAACTAAACGTTACTTCCAAATTACAACCAGTTTATACTCTAACCTAAAACGGTCAGGTATGAATTCATTAACTATATCAATAAATTTTTCAAAAGTACCGTAAATATACCTAATTATTTTTACCTGGAAATGAACAGATTCAATAATGGCGAATTATTCAATTCAGTTTGATCGTTCATAAAATATTGAGAGTTTTGTTTATAAACAAGGTGAAAAATGTCGATTTTTGAAAACATTGTTGATGGTATCTGATTGACTCTGGAATGAGTATTCAACGCTGTAGCTACCGAATGACTGAAAACTTGACTTGCTAATTTAACGTTTATCCTTTGAGAGTTAGTTGGAAATAAATGAGAATCAGTAAGTTGGGGTGCTAGTCTATATTGTTTTTCTTTATCCAAGTTGTTAGGTTGTTCAAGATGATTTTTTTTCTTTGTAAATTCATCAAATTTCAAAAACTCATCAAAAAATTGTTTCGGCTATATTTCAGCAGATGAGGAGTATCAAAAAAGTAAAAAACATTTTGTACTCATCAACAAAGAAATATAGCTGCTCTATAGACACTTCGAGATCCTTTCTGGCAATTTTTAAAAAATTAGAACCTAAATCTGACATGATAATCCTCTTATTCCAATTTTTGATAATTGCCTAACCTGACCCCACTATTATGGTCTATAACAATTTATTTCATGATTTTTGTCATATTTTCATTCCTTCAATCTTACATAATGAATACTAGAAAAACATACCTTTTTTGTCAGTTGAAAATCGAAAAAAATGAATGCCGACATCACCCTGCAAATTACAGCAACCCACAGCTCGACACTTGTTCATTTTGAAACTAGACTCAAATTTTTCACAAATACAAAACCACTACTTACAACGACTCATTCTGTAATAATATTCCATGTCTCAATTTGGCTCGCTTGGTAAACGCCTCAGATTCAGTCGGTTGCGCTATAGGTCAGCCGCGCATAACGCATAACATTCCAGGTGGGGAATCTTGACCCAAATATGGCGGAGAGTGAACTTACTTATGTTTACTTCTATACGGTGACATTGGTGCGCTTGAATGTTAAGTATCACCCGATTTATTGCCAAAATATCAGCTTTTGTTTACTTAGGGTCAGGAAAGTTATTGAACGAACTTAACCGAGGCATTCTATTGACTGTTTCTTCACAAATTTGGAAAATAAGTCATTAGTAAATTTAGCGATGTCTATTTCGATTCATTTCAAAAAAATTGTAGAAAATTTAAACATTTGCCTTTACCGAATCCATTTCTAGTTCGACAAAAATTTAAAAATGAACATCCTTATCAACAGCGATGTTGCCAGGTATGCACAATTTCACGAATCTCAGAAACACTTGATATAACATAAAAGAAGTGTATTATTATTCATATTACGTTGACTGGGTTTTGAAGGGTATCGAATTAATAGACTTTCCCAACACATTTTTTGAGGACAATTACTTCGAAAACATCAGCCAGCGGGAGTTATTTTTATTATATTTGTGGAATGCGACAAAGAATTTCTTAAATTTTCATCTCACCAATATGTCATTTTTAAGTTCGTTCATCTCGAATAAAATTGAGTAAACCCCATCAGAGTATCTGATTGAAAATTAATTCATCTGGACACGTACTCCCATTTCCTTGATAATGTGGTTAAATTCATACAGAAACAAAATTAAAAACTATCAAATTTTCCAAGACACAACTCTAGAAGCTGATACCATTACTGAAAAACAAACGTAATAACAATTACATCAAAAAATTAATATCTTCTATGCTTTTATTTTTCAGTGATAATATTGATAGCTATTACTACAGTATCTAAAGCAGAATGCCAAAGTAAGTTTTGTTGTCTGTTTTTTCGTTAAATGTTTGGTGTTAATAATAATTGTTTCTGACAGAAAGTTTAGCTGGCTTCATATTTTTCATATATGTTTAGTTGGTTTTGTTTAGATTTTAGCAACGCTTAGATCTTCAATATAGATAACATACATTAAACACTATTATGTTATTTTTTTTTTCTAAAACTACAGTGGATAACTCAAAAATGACTGGTCATAAATTTAGACCTGAAATTCGTTCTTCACGGTTATGCTGTTAGGATAATATTGCAGTTGAAATGTTTTCATACAAAGTAAAACAAAAATGCATTATTTGCTAAATAGACAATAGTGTTGGAAAATTTCAAATCAGAAAAATTTTTCTTTTTCATTGAGTGATTCTCAAAATAAAAAATCAATATACAGGGTGATCTATCTTCAAGTAATGACCTTCAATGTTTCATTGACCGCTAAACGCCTACTCGAGCATTATTAAATTTTGTAGCAAAGCGGGTCTCATATCCTGCATCTCTTGCCTGATTCCATCTTAAAGCTCACAAATACTGCCTGGTCTGTTAGTTTAGGGTTTACATAGACCTAGATTTTAAATGACCACATTGTTTTAACAAACTCCTGTACAGTTGCAGCAGACAATCCAGACCAGATTGTCTCTGGTCTGGATTCCAGCTTCATTGGACCAGAACCTGTATAGATAGAGTACTTTTGGTACGACCAGCTGGTACATTTGCATTGCTTCATCCGACTCTTCCGCTTTCGATGCAATAAGCCATCGCGGAGGACCATATACTCTCGCTGAGTGAAATGTGGTCGTATTGAAACCAGTTTCTGCAGTCTGAAGCGAACAAATAAACCGACAATACTGGAAAACTTTAAAGCTAGGAATAGAAGAAAATTCTATGTTGGTCAAATGGAAAGAGCTCGTTTCAAAGATCATCAGAAAAGTATAGGGTCGCTCAATAAGCTTCGTAGAACGACCACAAACTGAAGGATGATTCCTTGAAATTATTGTGTCAGGTGCATGATCGGTACTAGAACTATAAATAGCAATAAAGGCTCCATTCTGAATAATCTAAAATGAATGAGGTTCTGGATAATACAGATATCAATACCGCGCAAAATGTATGGCATCACCTTGATGGCGCACCCATAAACCGAAGTTTACAAAACAAAGTTACAGAACCAGATTGGGAGTATTATTGGTTACCCCGGTCGCTTGATTTAACGCTGTTGGACTTTTTCGTTCTGTATTGACGGCCCACTGAATTGTAGAGCAACAAATTTTTCAAAACTGATATTATGAATTGCGATTGGGAACTTATTTAAATTTCATAGTTGCGGGTGGTTGAAGTCGAACGACACCCTGTATGAACATTTTATGGACAAATTCTAATAACTGGAAAAAATCTCCGTGACAAAAGTTTTTGGTTTTTCCCGAATATCTTCGAAACAAAAACAGCTATACAATTGATTTTTGGTATCGTTCATATCTGAAAATAGGCCACTTTGCCACAGTTTAACCCACTCTTTATTTGTCTTTTACTGTTTACGAAAATTTGACTAGAAATGGATCATAAAAACTAACTCAGAAACAAATCTGAACCAATTCAGACAACTTTTGTTTCTAAATAAATGTATACTGTTTCTTAAAAGTAGCAAAATTAATCAGTTCAGTTCTAGCTTGATGAATTTCACATATACTTGGTCCTAAAATTAAATAAGAAACAACTTTATGAATGACTTTTTAGAAATTCTATTGGGATTGAAAATCAACTTTTTTTTTATTCAGAACATTTATTTTTTGAAATACTTTCGTCACCAAATATTTCAACTTTAAAAGTCAAAAGCAACAGTCAAAATTTCGACCAGAAAATGAAATTTTTTTCACTTTTTCTCTCAATGATCTTTTGTGCACTTTTTATTCTAAAATTTAAAGTAAATAATTTTGAATCATCGTTGAAAGTTATACACTTTCATAGGTTTTGAGCTCTGGTATTTCCATTATACCGTCAAAATTATTATTTTTCCTGATTTTCATTGAAAACGAAACATTTCAACAAAAAAAACATTCAAAACAAAACACCTTTTCGAGTTATCCAATTCTGAAACTGAACACACCAAAACAATACTTCAAATGTTGTTTGAACGCATGTCTAGGCAGTGTCAGAGTAAACAGGATTCAGCAAGACAGTAGTTGTTTGTTAAATTCTCAGTAACTGTTTATTAAATTTCCAGCGAGACAGATCTACTGTTACGAGTGTGATTCATGGTCGGACATGAGATGTAAGGACCCCTTCAACTACACAGCCCTGCCCAGGGACCAGCCCCCTCTTATGACGTGTAACGGATGCTGCGTGAAAATGGTCCGGAATGCCAAAACAAGTGAGTAATGAATTGGGTGACCGCACCCAGACCATATAGATTACCAAATTCAGGTCGGAATATCCAGGTCGGAATATCCATTTGCCTGGAAGTGAAATATCTAGGTATCATCCTAGATTAAAAACTCACCTTCAACACTCCTTGGAAAAGATTTTAGAGCCATAAGGGGTTCTACAAAGCCATTTGAGGTTAAACAAAGTCATAAGAGGTTTTACAAAGCCATAAAAGGTTTCACAGAGCCATAAAATGTTTTACAAAGCAATAAGAGGTTTTACAAAGTTATTAGAGATTTTACAAAGCTATGAGAGGTTCTACAAAGCCATAAGAGTTTTCGCAAAGTCATAGGAAGTTTTATGAAGCCATAAGAGGTTTTACATAGCCGTAAGAGGTTTTACAAAGCCATAAGAGATTTATAAAGTTATGAGAGGTTCTACAAAGCCTTTAGAGGTTTTATAAAGCCATAAGAGAGTTTACACACTACACACTACCCTACCTAGGAACCAGCCACCTCTCATGACGTGCAACGGATGCTGCGTGAAAATAGTCCGGAATGCTAAAACAAGTGAGTAATGAATTAGGTGACCGCACCCAGACCATATAGATTACCAAATTCAGGTCGGAATATCCATTTGCCTGGAAGTGAAATATCTAGGTATCATCCTATCACTACACACTACCCTACCTAGGAACCAGCCACCTCTCATGACGTGCAACGGATGCTGCGTGAAAATAGTCCGGAATGCTAAAACAAGTGAGTAATGAATTTTATGAAGCCATAAGAGGTTTTACATAGCCGTAAGAGGTTTTACAAAGCCATAAGAGATTTATAAAGTTATGAGAGGTTCTACAAAGCCATTAGAGGTTTTATAAAGCCATAAGAGAGTTTACACACTACACTGTCTAGGAACCAGCCACCTCTCATGACGTGCAACGGATGCTGCGTGAAAATGGTCCGGAATGCCAAAACAAGTGAGTAATGAATTGGGTGACCGCACCCAGACCATAAAGATTACCAAATTCAGGTCGGAATATCCATTTGCCTAGAAGTGAAATATCTAGGTATCATCCTAGATTAAAAACTCACCTGAAAAGGTTTAACAAATCCATAAGAAGGAACACAAAGCCATAAGAGGTTTTACAAAGCCATAAAAGGTTTGACAGAGCCATAAAAGGTTTGACAGAGCCATAAGAGGTTTTACAAAGTTATAAAATATTTTATGAAGCCATGAGAGGTTCTACAAAGCCATAAGAGGTTTCACGAAGTCATAAGAGGTTTTACAAAGCCATAAGAGATTTACAAAGCCACGAGAGGTTATACAAAGCCATTAGAGGTTTTATAAAGCCATAAAAGATTTTGCAAAGCCATAAGATGTTTCATAAAGTCATGAAAGGTTTTACAAAGCCATAAGAGGTTTCACAAAGTCATAATGCCCAAGTTTCGTGGCCATGGACATTAAAAGGACACTGAGTGGGTGTCCCGGAAAAGTATATTATTTGGCAGCACAAAGATGGATGTTGAATGGACTTCCGTAGGATGTCTGTGAACATTTCAATTATAGATTTCTTTCAACTGATTTAAAAACGACTTTGATAGGATATCCATGAAGGGTCCATTATTGCCCGCGTTTATTGATTTCCAGCAGGTTTAATTTTTCTTCTTCATTTTCTCTATGTCGTAGTCCATGTTGAAATAGAAGTTGTTGTCTTAAAGTTGGCAAGTATAGGTTTTTTCTGTTCAGAACTTCTTTTATGTTCGGAGACTCCTGTTTCAAAATTTCCTTCCTATATAAACTTTTGAGCAGGATCCACATGTTAGATTATAGACCTTTGTCCATTTTTGACTTGTTCTTTAGTCTTCAATAGTGTTTTTATTTTATCTGATGATTTTCTGTATATGTGAGTATTTTGTATTTGTGTTATTTTTAATGTGGGGGTATACTTGCTTATAGACGTGTTTGAATAGTTTTTTGTCGATGACTGCTATTTGTTTTGTAAAATTCAATTTCTTATTAAAATTCTCTGTGGACATCAGGATACTGATGAGTTTGTAAATAGCGCTACATACTGAGCTGCTAATTTATGTTGATGAGGATAATAAGAATGATTATTGATAGTTGGGTATGTATGGATCAGTTTGTGGTAAATTGCGAATTTATGTCCACCATCAATATGGAAGTGTACAATCTCCATATAGTCTTTTTCAACTAAAATTACTTTTTTAATCCTTTTCTGCCAGTCTTCTTCCGTAATATTGAATACTGCTTCTTTTTAATTAGCTCTATTACCTTCTTATCAAATTTTGGAAAATTATTTTTACGTCTGATGATTTCCCCAAATCAACTCGATGGGATTGAAAACACAAAAATTGGGGGGAAGTCTCAGTATGGTGTGTCCATACTTTTAAGCAATACTCTTAAGGGCATACACTTTTGAAATGTTTTCGTCTGTAAAACTTCAAGTAGTTGGTTTTTGATATAGTTTTCTTCATAATACAAATTGATATCCATTAAAAAACTTTGTATTTCATCTTTCCTCGAATTTTTATTCGGTACTTTGATGAGCTGTCGCGAATGATAGGAAGCGTTGTCAAGAACTGTTACACTATTCGTATCAAAATTTGGGATCAATGTGTTTTCAAACCATTCCTCAAAAATTTTAGCTTCCATGTTATTATGATAGTCATTATTGCAGTCATCGAGTTTTTTGCCACATAATTTCAAAGAATTCAGAACCCATCCTTTACGTCCTCCGCAATGCACAATGATTAGTAGCGATCCTTTGTTTGCAGGCATGTTAGGCGTACACGCAATTCCACTATTCTTCTGCTTTCCATAACTGCTTGACGTTTGTTTATTATTTTAAATCTAAATCCTAGTTTCTTCATCCAATTCCGAAGAGTTTTTGTCACAGCAGCTCACGTTATGGCCGGAAGTATTCAATTTCTTCCTTATGATTTCAGTTGTAGAAATTTCATTGCTTTTGTAACAGTCGTATATTGTTATTTTCAGTGATTTTATTAGATGAACCTCTAAAGGTTTTGGTAATCCAGTATCATATCGTGTCTTGCGTTCATAAGGTTTGTTTTTGACTATTTTACGTATAGTTGAGAAAGGAATTTCGGTCAAATCTGATGTTGCTCGTAATAGTTTGTTTCCCTCGAAACCAAACTTGAGATGTAGATTCTTATATACATTGAAACATACTCTCTGTGTTTCAATATTCGAATGTATCCGAATCTTATTCACATATATCTCTTTTTCGCATTGTTCACCATCGCTATTGGAATCACTACACAGGAAAAAATCTGCGTTGTTATTACGTTATTACTATTAGTACTCGTTATTACTATCAGTACACTCAAATCGCGATCAGTTCCTGACGTGAACATTGACAACACGACGGCACGCATTCTATTCGTCACCGTAACATGACTTCAAATTTAATTTTATGACTCTTGAGCCAATCATAACACTCGCTTAGTAAAATCATTCCATACGAACCGCCAATTCTCCAGTCCACGTGGACTAGTTGGCAGCGGCTTCATTCCTCTGTATTGGTTTTTTTGGCCTTTGAGAACGCCGACAATTTAAGTATGCACAATACCAGTTACTTCGACTGTACCAGAAGAAGGCGATCCGTCTAAACACAGTTATCTTTTTCAGCGTACGAAGTTGTCCGCAGAACCTGCACTTCCCAGCTGCAGATCAACCTATTCATGGTTGATCACGTGTGCATGATGGAAAGTAGCGGAACAGGTCACATGTGCTTTTGTGAGGAGGACATGTGCAACGATGCACTAAAAACTGTCCGATTGACAGATCTGATTATCCTGCCCCCCGTAGTATTGTTCCTATCACGCCTGTGCATGAGGTAGAGAGTTTTTTAGGCCGATATTAGGCTGTTTTGGATCGAATTTGAACTAGTAGCGGTATATTTATGTGATCATACTTTTAAAGAAACATTGCTTCAAATCGAAGATCAAATGGATGGGGTACACTGCGAGAAGTGATTTAGTAAACAAGTTGAGTAATTATTCAGAAAACAGACATGTCTGATATAAGAATTTGTTGCAATATAATAACTACACATTTGTGTAGTAAGAATAGGAGGGAGGAGGTTTTGCCTTTGGAAAATCACTATTAATAAGATGTTTAAAAATAAAATTCATCTCTGCGAGTTCCAGGCTTAGAAGCACAAATATTAAATCGACATTCGTTCATGGAAGAAATTAGCATTTGTATTGGAATGTATTCCAATAATTGAAATCACGTGTATTCAAAAATAAGTTATTTATATTTTCATAAAGATACTGATATGGAATGAAATGACGCCAGAAAAATTTGAAGATAAAATATTTGTGTACAAATAAAACGATAGATCCATTATCCATAGATCCATTATCTACATGTGTTTTATGACTGTTTTGAATTCATTTGATGAGAATCAATATAGAAACAGTCATTATAGACCAAATTCGATATCATGGACAAATATTGCCTTGGATTTCTCAAAGCGTATGGAAGTAATTTTAAATTCAACCCCATAAAACAAATTGTTGAAAAAAAATACGGTAAAATCCAAAAACGGTTTTAACATATTCAAAGCAAACAATGTCTTCAGTTTTTATTCAAATCACAAAGTTACGGCCAATAAAGATAAATGATCGAGAATAATATCATCGTCATACAATATTAAATATGAAATGTTCACGTCCTATTAGAATCAAATAATTTTGTTTACTGAGAGAAAAACACTGTAGATGTAATTTCTTTCTCACTGTATCGTAGCAATGTTGTCAGATTTACTCTTGGGACCGATTGATACCCAGTAAATCTAAGACGGAATGTTTGTTGCTGTAATATCAAAGTACCTAAAATTTTGAATTTCAGATCTGACTCATCTTTGTAAGTTCACATCAAAATAATCTTCGCAATAAAAATCTGCTCTGCAAGTTTGATTGGTAGGTATACCAACCAAAGTGGTGATGTCGCTAACGCCAAATTTATGAAAATGAGAGGCTTTACATGATTCAGAAGGAGAATCTATTACAATTTACTTTTTCGATCTCTCCACAGGCACTTGCCTGTTTCGTTATTTTTCGTTCCTTCCAAACGATAGCTTCCGTTTCTTTCGAACTCATAAGTCATGTTCTATGATGTGTGTTTTGTACAGTACCTACTATAATGTAAAATATTTTTCTCTAGGTATATTTTACCATTATTCTCTTAGTTTCTTTCAGGCCTATTCAATGAGTTGGCGTCCTTCCAAAGGCCATATAAATGGAGTTTATCCATGACTGATACATTTATTTACTTCCTGAAGACGTCAACTTACTTTATGAAACGTGCGTCGAGAACACTATTGCAGTTGTGGTCTCTTTTTTAATTTATTCTAAGCCACAGGTTCCAATTTGATCTTTTATTAAATTCCATATGGTAAATGTGGTAGTTATTTCCGATCTCTTGAAAATAAGAGTCTGAATAGGTCAGTTATTAATTCATCCATTATTACAAAATGTGAAGAGACTCAAGATTTTCTGATTATTGCCATGAGAAATACTATTTCACGAACATTCAAATTAATTATTTCATTATTATTATTATTCAATCAAATTATTCAGATGTTTAAGTCACCTCTTCCAAAATGTACAGCTTCCCAAAAGAATGTGATCTAAGAGGTGATTCATGTGATTTTGTGGTGAACACATCAATTTAGATAATGTTACTAAGACTTTTTCATGAGTTTAATGAATATGAGGAGATCAGAATCAAGTTCAATCCATTATTGCTGCATCCCTTAATGTGACTCGTAGTCGAAAAGGTCTCGAAGCAGTGACATCAATTTTCAGTGAGAAAAGCAACAAAAACTGCATTGGACTTCGAATCATGATTAGAAGCGTAAATAGACAGCCAAATATCATGGTTAAACATGCCGAAAATTGGAAATCCAGCCACTTTATAAAACTGAATCTAGGGAAATTAGAAGTCAATGAAAAGAAATAATCTTTAAAGAGTAGAATCAAAATCATCATTCCTGTAGGCAAACAAGAAAATATCGATAATCAAGCTCCGAAGAAGTAAAAAATCCCTATAATAAAGAAAGTGAATTCAACATCAAAATGGATGTCTTGGCAAACTATATACCTAAGAAGAATCCGCAAAATAACCTATATAAACACAAATTAGGAGTTGTGAAGACAACGAAAGCACTACATGCATTGCTTCCACACCTTTGATATAATGCATACCATAAGTAGTTGTAGAAAAACATATAAACCATGGTCAACAAATTCAAAACAAGCTTTGATACAAATCACCTCACTAAAGTTCCAAAATGTTCAGCAAGTAAAAAAACATTGAGTACATGATAAATAATGAGTATATAATAAATGAATCATTTAATTAATTAACAATTATTATGTTACTTTATTTATTATTTATTATTTGTTCAATTACAATGAAGTAAAATGCCCAGATGAGCGTAGAACATGACAGTGTAATAAATATACAGTTAAAAACATTTAAAAATTGAAATCAATTAAATGTGAGACATTTTAGCAGGTAAAATCTGAAGGGATGGTATCTTTAAAATATTCATCAGTTGAGTAGTATGCTCTATTTAGAAGAAAGTTTTTAAGTTTATTTTTGAGTGTTGTTTTAGAGAGGCTTCTTAGTGCATTTGGAAGTTTGTTATAGATTTTTATTAGAGTATACGGTATATTTTTCTGAATATAAGTAAAATTAGGAATATTAGTAACCAAATCTGCTTTATTTCTTGTTAGGTAGATGTGTGCTTTATCAAAGTCGTTAAAAAGATTTGGATTGCTTTTAATAAACATTATGCTGATATTTTGATATTTAAACAAAATCTCATCTTTGTCAATTGTATTGAAAAGATTGTACAATTGTTCTTCGCACTTCCTGCCAATTTGTATTTCAGCACTGTTGTAATTCAAATTTCCCCTTTAGGATGTGTAATAAAAGTAAAAATCTATTTCTTGTTCATAAATACGCCAAACTGCACGTTCTTGAAACTGCTCAAAATGTTTACAAGGAAAATATTCACTTTAAAAAGGTAGGTACATTATACATATGGAAGCCTCTTTTGGAAAATTATTTTCAACTGAATAACTCAAATGAAGTAAAAAGTCACCAAGCCGACTCGATTAAATTGTTATATAAATACCTATGAGCCAATTTACTCAATAAATGAGTGATAAAAACCATATTATGAATAAAATACGAATTTGGAGCTACTTCAAATCAAGAACTGAGAGATTTTTTAGATTTCTGGAAACTGTATTAACAAGTTTCAAAATAATCAACATGGCAATAGTTTTTCCATTATCGTTTAGTGTACTCATTTGTGCTTCTAGAAGTTTTTCTCTCCCTCAATCGATTCTATAAAAACCTACAATGGTACTTGCAATAACATTCGAATGATTTTCCAAAATATTTTTGAGGCAAAAATGGCAAGCTCAATTTCACCCGTCAATTTTTGAAGCAATGTTATACCCTATAGTAGTAAGCAGCTCTTTTAAGGAATTCTACACAATGAAACTTTTATGGATATTTTTAGTTTGCTTACATTGCATAAAACATTCCTCAAACATTCACAAAATATCCATGAAATATTTCAAATTATTGGCTCACAAACGATTTTAAACTCTTTGAGTTATGGTAGAGTTGTAAAAAAATAAATAGCATGACATTTACAATTCAATAAAACATCTTATTTTATGCCTTAGACAATAAATAAAAAATTGGAACAAAAATACAACCTGTAGATGCTTATTTTCATATTTACATCTAAAATATTTCTAACCTTATGTGTAAAGTGATTCTATGGAGTAACGAAAAGAGATTGTAACCTTTAATGAAGATCTAGTAAGAATATTTTTGACTACAGCCAACTAGTGTCACTTTGCGCACATCTCAACTTTCAGATTTCCTATTCTAAGTGTAAGTACCACCTCTATAAATGATTGTACACTCATAGCATATCAAAATTCTCTCATATTTAAATACCCATATCATTGTAGTGTTCAGTCTTTTTTGAAAAAATACAGTATGAAGAGTTACAGTATATTTTCAAAGAGTACCCTTGTTATTGATAGAACATAAGTTCACTAAAAAAAAGACATTTTTTTCAACAATTAAGCGCATTGAGAACTCATAAGCGTCGCTTTTAGAATTGCGAAGTTTTTCATATTTTAGAAATTTAAGGCATGAGTTATGCACGATTTGCACAATACCAACTAGAAAAATCTGCGAAACTGTAGTTTAAAAATCGATATCTTCTATTTCATTGGGGTCGAACCAAAGTGGAAAAGCTATTTATGTTTTCCGCAATTGTATATTATGATGTATATAACATAATTCTTTTATTTCTATAAGAAGGTATAAGAATTTTTTTGGGTGACTACACAAGAAATTTCCAATCTGAACACGAAACATCATTCTTCAGGAATCCTGTTCGAATCAGAAGCAACTCCATTAACATTGACATACAAAAATCATCATATCCATAATCATTTTATCCCCAAGTACCTATTTGCTAACACCTTAATGTATTTACATGCACTATTTTGTTATGCATGATGTGATATTCGAAGTTTCAAAGTCAACAGATGAATTTTCAACCAGAATTCTTACAATTTGATCTAGATTGATGAAGAATACAATCTTCAAACCTTTTTGAACTAAACTCATTTGCATATATTGGTGGTTCCTTCAGAAAAGAACTTGAACTACATTTCAATGAAATTGTATACACCTGTTTCAATAGGTTCGGTTGAAAGCTTGCTCTTAAATTTCAAAACATTTAATTTGCATGTTCCACAGTTTTCAAATATTATTCTAAACTATTCTATCTCAATGAAACATTTTGGTTATCAGAGCTTTTTTAGGAATTCAAAATGCACAGGCTTATACTATGACTGGCATGTTTGTTACCTTACGAAAGGTGCATGATAAAGAGTTTGATTCACTGAGAAATTTGATAAAAAGGAATCTTTCTTAGCTTTTTTTTGAATCCCATTGGAATTTATTAGAAAAAAAGCTTGTTTTAGTAGAAACCTGTGCATGCAGATTCCTAGGATAACACGTGCACTGACTTGTAAATATAGCACATTTCATTCCAATACAGCATGTTTCGATGAAACTACACAGCTATCAATCAGTTTCAGAAATAAACAAATTTTCCACCTCACAGAAGTATGTTAGGGCCTTTTCTCGTTATTTACTTTATGTACGCAACTGAGGTATCCCGATTTTCGACACAGTACTGGATACTAAAATTTGTTTACTTTTTTTATATCCCGTAATGTGCCGAAATAGGGAAACATCAGACTCACCTATTTTAAGAAAAACATGTAAATATTAACTGTAGTTGTTACATATGGATCAGTTGTTCAAAAGGTAATCTTATTGTATCTCAAAATAAATGTTTACCAATGTTGTTTTCGTCTTTTCCGCTCGAATGTTAGGTTATGTTTCATTATATTTTATAAAAGGCTGTTGGTCATTGAGCACTCAGTTGTGAAAAAACCCGACCCAATAATAAAACTATTGCTCAAGTAGGTCACAGTAGTGATTATGAGTATATATAAACAAGTTCTACTAAAAATTAAAACTCACTGATAAACTTTTTGTGGAGTTCAAAGTGCAGTGGAAAGGACTAACCTTTAATCAGTGTGAGATTTGGAAAAACTTGTGCTTCTTTCGGTTTTCGAAGTGGGAAAATCTTCAATTTCAATGTATAGCCCCAAAACATTCTTTAAAGGTACATTCACAGGTGAGTTTTATTGGAAAAGTAGAAAAAAGTTTCCAAACAAGTTTAAAAATCGAAATTTGACAAATGTCCTTTTTCATTATAGGTTAGAATTCGTTGTTTGATTGATCGTTATTATATAGTATGCTTTATATATTAATTTATATAAAGTGTGAACTTAGCTTTACATATGTACTGTTCCAAAAACCTATACGGTAAATTCTGATTTTACACATATAAAATTAATATGGCTTCAACCTACTGTTCTAGAACCAAAGTGTCAATCAATTGAAATAACGTCCTGACTCCGACAATTCTAGGTTTGTTCTTGTTCTACGTTTGTTCTGTTCCGAATCATCCAATATCAGTGAGTCAGCTGTGGACTGAAAAGGTTTGCGCGACAAGATGCTCAGTATTCAGTTGGGTGAGTCCGGGTAGAGAACCAGAACAGGCCTTTTACTATATTTATGATACATTTGACTTATGGTGAATTTATATACACTCGATTAACAAGTAGCAAGTAATAATTAGAAAGTGAAATTATCAATTATAAGTTGAACTTCCTCACTTTCCAATGGACACGTTTATCCAGAAAAATTAACAATTATCGATTAACTAGTGACGAGTAGACGTTGGTCAACTTTCTTCATGGACATATGAATAACTATCCACTGACAATGACTTTCTAGTTTAAATTATACCAAAAATTTTTCTAGTATGCATCTAGAACGCAAATGATCGCTGATTGGATTGGCCCATTTCAGACGCACACAGTAAAACTGACGGATAACCTAACCTAATAATTTTCAAATTTCAAAACATAGTAAGCTGCGTTCTGTTGATTTCATGTTTCCTAAATATTTTTTTTCTATTATCGCTGAAGTGGAAATTGATGCTGGGTTAATAAATATATAACAGATACACAATAATCAGATTTCCTTTTTCTGGTAAAATCTAAAAGCTCAAGCGCTTGCGTACTATTTTATAGAGAATGCATGAATATCATGGTTTTTGTTAGTTGTTCCTTGTTGATTGATAATTGAAACTTTTTAGTAGTCTAATATGTGCCTAGGTTTCTTAGTCATTTTTCTATATTCTATGCATTTTTTTTTTCAACAAATCAACAAATCAAAACATCAAAAACTCATTTTTAATCCCTAACTTCTAACAGTTTTTCTCAAATGATCAATTTTTTGAAAAACAGTCCGTGAAGTCAGAAACACAAAAAATTGATGAAGTAACTTGTCGTCGATTCCTGAAAATTTGACTGAAATAGTTCAAAGGTTTAACGTTTTATCTGATATCTATCATTAAAACGGTGAAATACATATCGAAATGGAGCAAAGAACCCCAAATTTCACACCTTCCGAAAAAGAATGCCTTTTCTGAATAGTGTCAGAATAAGCACATATTCTGGAGAACAAAGAAACGAACAGAATAAACGTTGAAGAAAAATTCTAGGATTGTGAGAAGATATTTGCTGAATTTAATTCTAGTGCCCCGGTAGTGTGCTACAGAACCTCTGAGCAGTTGAGGAGATTGTATGAAAATAAAAAAAGACATTGGAAGGAAAGCAGCCGATTACAATCAAAAAACAATCGTTTTTGACAGGAGGAGACCCACCACCTGAAATCAAATTGAATTCAGCGGATGAAATGCTCATGGGAATCATTAATAGAAAAACTATCAATGGTTTGTTTTCCCAATTTGATTCAGATAGTATGGGATCAGTCGAGAAAAATCAAAGATCTAATGGAAGCACAATCAGCTACGAGTTCACTCCCAAACCCCTTTTTCAAGAACATAGAATCCTTACGGTTATTTCAATATTTATATTGGAAACCGTGTCAGTTATGCATAAAAATAGGGAGAACTATGAATCTACAGCTACAGCCACATACCACACAAGGCGGTCAAATGAACTGAGTCTACCAATCCCAAAAACATGTTTGGGTCAAAACTCGTTGATATATAATGGAATCAGGATATACAATAAACTTCCCAATGAAATCAAAGAGACTCCTTTCATCATATTCAAAACTATTAAGTGATAAAGCCTATTATGACCTACAAGAATATTTTGACGATGCCCTGTAATTTAGAATGTGATGAAACTGCGATTGTACTATGTGTAAAACACATATTTTTATTCGTTGTCCTAGTTTATGTAGATTTTAGTTAATATAGACACGCCTGATAAAGTTATTGTATAGCAAAACACTTTTTGCAGGAATTTCGAACACATTGCTACAACACTTTTCAAATGAAGTTAACCCTATTGAAATTCAAAAGGCATTGGTTGTTTCCAAGTTGTCAAGATACGAATATGAGAGAAACAAGCATAAAAATCTTACAGATAAAGAGTTACAAATCCACCTTCGAAAAAGAGGAACCGACGTAGAAAAATTGATACATTTTTATGATTTACAAAAGAAATTTGAAGATAACGTAGCAAACACTTTAAGGGATATGGGTATAGATGTAGAAGTTGTGAACAGGTAAAGTAAGACTGGATGATATTCCAGATTTTAAAGCGTTTCAAATTCTAGACTCAACTGTAATGAGGACATGGTGAAGGAAGCAGACGTTGTATTACCAACAGGAGGGGATGGTACTTTTTTATTGGCAGCCAGCAGGGTTTTAGATAATAAGAAACCTGTTGTAGGATTTAATTCAGACCCAACTAGGTCTGAAGGATATCTATGTCTTCCGAAGCGGTATTCTTCAGAAATAAGAGGAGCCATTGAAAGGTTACAAAAGGTAAAATAATCACGTACCACTAACAGTTCATTTATAAATTCACTAACTTTTGACCGCGGCTTCGCTCGCGTTAAGAAGTATTATTATTAATTAGGTATAGTTGTTGCAGCTTTACTTTTGTTTAGCGTGTGTGAAAAATTAGGGTCTACAAAACTTCTTTGTACACAATATTCTTAACTAATCTGTCATTAGGCGATAAAACTATCAAGCTATTGGGTGAACTTACTCGTGAGCAAGCAACATAAAACTGTCTATGAGAGAAGCAATGTTCTCTCAAGTCAATATCCGCAAATTTGGGAGTTTGCCCCTGAGACTTGTTTATTGTCACGGCAAAGCAGAATTTTAGGGGAAACTGTAATCGTTTAAATTCAAACGGGATATCATTAGATATTAATGGGATTCGTGATATAAATACAGTTTCCCCTTTCGCATACCCAGTTCATATAGTAGCTTCCACTATATTGCGATGTAACGCTTTCACTTGTAGTCTCGTACCGTTACAAAGTTTTGGTGGTTTTAAATTTCGCAACAACATAATTGGAGTGCCCACACGCAGAATAAGCTTATTACAAGGCAAACCTGGCGGTTTCAATGAATTTAAAAATTCTACAGGGTAATTAGTAGCGCCATCTGTATTAACCACAGTATCAATTGAAGTATAGACCTTTTCTTCGCCCTCAAACGACATGAGCAGGATATCGTTGATAGCTGCTGCTTGATCCTTCTTTGGAGTAAGTATGGCACGCTCACAAAACCATTCAATAGGCTTGTCATGTATTTGAGTAATGTCTGGATAAACTTTAGGCAGTAATTCTTGAACCGTAGTAACAACTGCGCACAATTCTTCCTGGATGGTTATCATTCCATCAAACGATGGAAAATCACCATTACCGATTTTAAGAAAGAGATCTGAAAATCTACCATCAGACTAATCCCCGCCCAAATGTGCTCTCATATTTTTAGAAAGCTTAATAATATTAACCTGGGGCCACAAATTAGATTTCTTAATGCATGACTTAACTTTGTCAGCTCTGGTTCCTTTTGGCACCACTGGTAGAGTCTGCCAAAAGTCTCCGGCCTGCAAAACTAATACGCCATCCATTAATTTTGTATTAACCCTTATATCCTTTAAGGCTTCAGTACCACCTTTATGAACCATCGTTATTTCGTCTCACACTTTTTTGTACTACTACTAACGCCATCTATTGTCAACATTTAGAACTAAAAACTATTTTGTTCGTCTTAATTTATTCGTTCCATTAGGTACTGATAGGTTCAAACTAATACATTTACATCCTCCATCATCCCTTATTTTATCCCCTTAGGGGTGGAATTTATCAAAATCCTTTCTTAGGGGATGCCTACGTCATAGTAGCTTTATGCATGCAAAGTTTCAGTCCGATCGGTTTAAAATTGACAAAGTTTCATACAAACTGTCATCCCGTATTTTATCCCCTTGGGGGTAGAATTGATCAAAATCCTGATTCAAATGGTGCTTATTATTAATTTACCCAAATTGACAAGGTTTTATACTTCAAGCCCTCAAGAATAACCAATTTTCTGACTAGTATCAAGACTTACAATTATAATGTGGAGTTTTACAATGCTCACTGAAATTATATTCTGAACTTTAAGGGTTGCTTTGAATGGCTGATGAGGAGCCGGATTAGAACCACCTTAGTAGTGAGCGAAGAAGAGAACTTAGTTCCAAAATACTTACATGATACCGAAGGAGACTGTGATGCTTTGTTCAAAGTTAAAACTAGAAGTAATGGTGATGGTGGTAAAGTTTTACCAGTGTTGGCTCTTAATGAGGTAAATATATATGAATTTCATTAGTTCGGACTTCCATTGTCTAATCTAATATGTATATAAAAATGGATGTTTGTTGGTTGGTTGGTAAGTGATGAACTTCTACATCGCTCAACTGATCGTGATGAAACTTGACATGTATAAGTAATTTTTCATAGAGAAGGTTTCTAGGCTACCAATTTTTTTGTAATTTGCCACTAGATGGCGCTGTAGAACAATTTTTTGAGAGCACTGTTCTATAACGCTGCTCACGCCCGAGTTCGTTGATTCTGATTCTGTCAAAACATTGGAACAGCAGCGATACAGCAACATAGTACTATTGTAAATATAAAAAAAGTTCTAAAAATGCCTAGATGAAACACCACAATGTATAAAATGATAGTACAAAGAATACATTGTTAATTTATTGTTAAAAGGATTCGCTAAAATACTCTTCCAAACTGTAATAGGGTCTATCAAGTAGGTTCTTTACCGCCTTTTTTAAATGAATGTTGCTTAGATTTGCAGATCTCATTTCTAATGGTAAATGATTGAACAACTTACCAACATTATACTATATGGAATCCTTGATTAAATTCGAAGTTGGGATGGGAAGTCTAAAGGTATAATCGCTATTACGAGTAGCATAAGGAGTAGAAGCAAAGTTGAACTTCGATTTATGTTTATAAATAAGGCAAACCGTCTCTAAGATGAAAAGTACGATGACTGTTATAATTTTATTGACAGTGAACAAATTCCTGCACGATTCTCTGGGTTTTACTTTACAGAGACTTCTTAGTGCCTTCTTCTGTAATATCAATATAAATCAATAATATCACCCCACTTTGACTATTGCAGTACATTACTTTATTTTGTGAGCAACGAAAATATAAACAGACTACAGAAGCTTCAAAACAGATCCATGAGGGCAATATTGAGTATGTATGTAATAAACATACATCTGTGGAATACATGTTGGAAACACTGTCTCTTATGTCTGCTAAACAAAGGATAACACTGAATATGCTAATATTTATATTTAAAATTAAACACAATATTATTGCCAAATTATCTGAGTGATCAGTTAACCTACACAAGTAGTATTCATACACACTCTACTAGAAATAGAATAGGAAATTTTTATATCAACAGAGAACATATAGGTTGTGACTCGTTGTATAGTTCTGGTCTGATTGCATTTAATAATTGGCCAAGTCATATAAAAAGCTGTGATTCATTAAATTCGTTCAAAAGAAAATGTAGTGAATATATTTCAAGTAATTGTCATCAATAATTCGTCTTGTTTTCTAGTTTCTTGTTTTTAAAATGTGACTTGTCCCTAATTTTATATATTTTTTATTGCTTTGTATTTTATAAGTGACTGACTGTACTATGAAGAGCAAGCATTATTTGCTAATAAAGAGTAATAATACATAATATAATACAGAAGAGAGAAGGGATAAGTTGCATGTTCCCCAAAAAGGTATTCCATAACTTAGTCGAGATTCAATAAGTGCATGGTAAACAGTCTTTGTGATATGGAAACCCAACTCATTTGAAACTACTCTAACTGCATAACGTCCGGAGGAGATCTTACTCTTGAGGTGTTCATCAAATTTCAGCCTATTATTTATCAATGAATACACCAAGAAATTTTGTGTTTAATTTATTTTGTAATATGGCAGCGTCTACTAGAATTTCATCAAGTGAACATTTGAATAATATTATATTCGTTTTGGATACTTCGAGAGAGTAAATTTGCATCACACCAGCTCTTCACCTTCTTCAAGTCGGATGATATTATTTTATTTAGCTCCACTGACTTTTTCTCATTCCACAATATTGTAGTATCATCCGCGAATAGAGTGAAACTACCAGATGTCAATCATAGAGATGTCATTCATATGTAGCAGAAAAAGAATATAGCCTAACACAGAACCCTGTGGTACACCAGATTCAATGGCCCTGTTCTCCGAGAGTTCAGTTGTCCTCACCATTTTACTCCGACCTGAAAGGTATGATTCGAACCAAGTGTTCGTTACACCTCTACATCCATATTTATGAAGTTTTTTTAGTAGAATTTCATGATTGACGCAATCAAACGCATTTGAAATATCGCAAAAAACTGCGGCGGCTACTTCACATTCAATTCAGAGTAAATTTCATATAAAAAAGAGAAGATAGCATCATTTGTATCTTTTTTCGCCTGAAACCCAAACTGGTTTTTGCTTATAATACAGTGCAGTTTTAAGAATTCATCTAAACGTACTTTAATTTCTCAATAATTTTTGCTAAAGTCGGTATTAAGGAAATAGGACGCAAGTTGGAGGGATTACCACCTTTATGTAGTGAAATGACAACGGAAGTCTTCAGGGAAGAAGGAAATGAGCCAGTTCTGAATGAGGTTCATAAACAATAACAGATGTTGGCGTTAGAAAGAACTTTTCTTTGTCTATTTATCATACCAATATTTGTATACCAACCAAGTTTTATTCCACTCATAAATTTCCATCAAACAATTAATTTATTTCAGGTTTTCGTCGGTGAATCACTATCAGCAAGAGTTTCCCATCTCCAAATGAGACTGAATGGTTCCACTGAAAACACAAATCTGAAGTGCTCCGGAGTATGTGTATCGACAGGAACTGGTTCAACCTCATGGCACCTGAGCATGAATAGATTACCTATTCAGAGTGTTGCCGAACTTTTGAAATTGCTTGATATTGAAGCTACAGAAGATAAAAACAGTCTCGCCGCAGTTTTGTCGGATATTTACAACAAAAATCTCATCTTTGCACCGGGTATGTTGAACCACTTGAATATTTGTAATGCACTGTTTGCAACCTTTGGTGTGGTAATGAATGTTACAGGAGTTTTTTCCCAACACCAAACCGTTATGTCAACACCTCGACACGTGTTTCGTTCACCAAGTGATCATCTTCAAGAGGAAGATCAAACTAAACTCATTTTAGTTATTTTAACACATCGATACGTGTTTCGATCACCAAGTGATCTTCCTCTTGAAGATAATCACTTGGTGATTAAATAACGGTTTGGTGTTGGGAAAAAACTCCAATAACATTCAAATCTAAAGAAATGAACTTCAATCGTTCAAGCCAGTCTCGATATACCTACACAGTAGGTTGAATGGACTGACGCCTATCAGAAAACAACTACTCCCCTGGCTAATACAACGAAGGGCGTTGGATTATATCCGGCAGGCGTCAGTGCAGGAATCTTCACAGAAAATTTCCTGTTCCTGCATATGCAATTGGCAATACAACTAAAAGAGACGACCTTCAATTTCGGAACGAGCACACATGCAGACCGGTTTCTGGCTCATTAGCCACTCGTCAGTACAAGATAGTGTCCATCATCGACCTAAAGTCAATGATATTCCACAATGGGGAATGTTCCTCAATTTGGGTTATTACAGCAAATGCAAGTTTGAACAAAATAAAGTTGAGTTTAATTCACGAGTTTTTCAAATTCGAAAAGTATTCAAATTGATGTTTCAAATGTTGGATTTTAATTTTTAAAGGGATTTGTTTCTAATTCACATATTGGCAACAGCGCCTATATCAAGTTGAAATAATTTATACGTACCT